ATCCGTGACTTCTCCTACTTGCGAGTAGCAACTTCCAAACCATTTTCGAAAAACACACATGAGATGTTTTGTTCTAACTCGAGTGATTTAGTCTATAATTGTATGCTGTGCGCATCACATAGTAAAGGTTAGCTAATAAACCGGAATAAGAACACATGTGTTTTCAAAAACAACATATCATGTTAGTAGAGGCCGATCCTTTGATCGGGCGAGCGGGGGTGCTCATTTCAGGACCTTCCCCTCTCGTACCCAAGTTCTTGAGCCGAGGCAACTTTGGTGATGATGGACACGTGGCCTTAGGCACGAGTCAGGGTTTCCTAAATTTTTCAAAACAAAATATTTAGGTGGCGACTCTGAAATCTGGCAAAGCAGTCACTGTTTGGAACTTTTTGATTAAAATTGATTTTCCAAAACGATTTGTCGGATTTGGACTTTTTGGTGATTTATCCGTCTTACATTGCACTTTGTGAGATTAGATTTAGAACCGTGACAGGAGTTCGAACTGTAGTAGCTATGAACAATAATTCACGCCCTCGCGCATGGAGCGGAGTTTCGAGCAGTCTACAATTCCATATTAATTAATCTACTTAAAAATCCTTAATTAACATGTCCTAATCTACCATACCATAAATTTGAATACTCAAGCAAATAAGAAAAAGATGTATTTTTATTAATCATAGAAGATACAATAGTCATTACATTCATTTTGAAAAGGCCATCAGTCATGTAACATTTTCCTACATACATTCTGTTTTTGGTAAGTACAAATTTGTTACTTTCAAAACTAGCCTAAACCCATTTTTACTTAACAGAGATCCGGAGATTAGATTCTTGCGAATGTTCGGTACATGCAGTACATTGTTGAGAGTGAGTTCCTTTCTAGATGTCATCTTTATAATAATCTTTCATTGTCCTTCAACTTTAGAAGTTGAGGAGTTGCCCATAAAAAGTTGTTCGCCGTTATCCACCATAGAATAAGTTGTGAACATCTCTTTGTCGGCACAGATATGGCGAGTAGCACCAATGTCCACCCACCATTCTTTAGGATTTCCGACAAGGTTTTCCTCAGAAACAACTGCAGAAAGATTTATGTCCTTAACACCATTGGAAATTTTGTTCACTTTGGTCATATTGGCTTGAGCAGGCTTTTTGCTTGATTTTCCTTTACCTTTGCGTTTGCTACGGCAATCTTTGGCCGGATGTCTCTCTTTGTTACAGATGTAACATTTGCCATTAAACTTGTACTTCTTAGTTTCCTTTCCTTGCTGTGCGCATCACATAGTAAAGGTTAGCTAATAAATCGGAATAAGAACACATGTGTTTTCAAAAACAACATATCATGTTAGTAGAGACCGATCCTTTGATCGGGCGAGCGGGGGTGCTCATTTCAGGACCTTCCCCTCTCGTACCCAAGTTCTTGAGCCGAGGCAACTTTGGTGATGACGGACACGTGGCCTTAGGCACGAGTTAGGGTTTCCTAAATTTCCCAAAACAAAATATTTAGGTGGCGACTCTGAAATCTGGCAAAGCAGTCACTGTTTGGAACTTTTTGATTAAAATCGATTTTCCAAAACGATTTGTCGGATTTGGACTTTTTGGTGATTTATCAGTCTTACATTGCACTTTGTGAGATTAGATTTAGAACCGTGACAGGAGTCCGAACTGTAGTAGCTATGAACAATAATTCACGCCCTCGCGCACGGAGCGGAGTTTCAGGCGGTCTACAATTCCATATTAATTAATCTACTCAAAGATCCTTAATTAACATGTCCTAATCTACCATACCATAAATTTGAATACTCAAGCAAATAAGAAGAATATGTATTTTTATTAATCATAGAAGATACAATAGTCATTACATTCATTTTGAAAAGGCCATCAGTCATGTAACATTTTTCTACATACATTCTTTTTTTGGTTAGTACAAATTTGTCACTCTCAAAAGGCCATTCTTGCTCAACAGAGATCCGGAAACGAGATTCTAGCGAATGTTCGGTACATGTAACACAATGTTGAGGGTGAGTTCCTTTCCAGATGTCATCTTCAAAATAACCTTTCATTGTCCTTCGACTTTAGAAGTCGAGGAGCTGTCCATGAACAGTTGCTCTCCATTGTCCATCACAGAATAGGAGGATAACATCTTTTTGTTGGCACAGATGTGACAAGTAGCTCTAATGTCCACCCACCATTCTTTGAGATTTCCGAAAAGGTTAAAATCAAAAACAACAACTGAAAGGTTTATGTCATCAACATCATTGCAGATTTGGTCCACTTCGGTGACATTGGCTTGAGCAGGTTTTTTACATGAATTTCTTTGACCTTTTCACTTTCTACAACAATCTTTGGCCCGATGTCCCTCTCTGTTACGAATGTAACATTTGCCATTAAACTTAAACTTCTTGGTGTCTCCTCCCTTAGAGAGCCTTGTGAGGAACTTTCTCTAGTAAATTTTCGTTTATTTGCTTTTGGTGCATGTTCTACCGCTTTAGCCTTTGACTCCATATGATACTTTGCAACCCTTTTCTCAAAAGTTCGGTTGTTTTCCTCAATTCTCAGTCGCACAATTAGTTCTTCCAAAGTCATTTCTTTGCGCTTGTACTTGAGATGGTTCTTGAATTCCTTTCATCCTTGTAGTAATTTTTCAATTAGGGCAGCAACTTAGAAGGACTAACTTAGTGGCATGCCTTCTACATGGATATCATGCAGAATAAGTTAGAGATCTTGAACTTGGTTGATCACGGTCTTTGAATCAACCATCACAAAATTTAGAAATTTGCCCACTACGAATTTCTTTAAGCTAGCATCTTCTGTTTTTTTTTTTTTTTTTCCCCCCCAACGACTCTCATAATTCCTTTGCCGTCTTGATAAGGCTATAAACATTGTACAATATATTATCATTCAAGATATAGTTGCGGCAAAGGAAATCTGTATGCTTCCAAGCATCGATCGTAGTAAGCACTTGTCAGTCGGTTTCATCCTTCTTTAGAACAAGAGCATCCCTATGAAGGAAATGTGCCTGATTTAAAGTAGTAAGATAGAATAGCATTTTTTGCCGCCATCTTTTAAAATCAGTTCCTAAGAACTTTTCTGGCTTTTCCCCGTGATTCACCGACACTATCACAACTACAGAAGGGATTGGGCAATCGCAATACCGATCGAATTAACGGTTTGAGCAGTTTCAGTAGCCATGAATTCTAAATTACAAAATAGCATTATAATTAGAATTTTATACTACACAGAAAATTAGACCATAAAACACAGAATATAATTCTGTAAAAAAATAAAAGAAACAAAATTGTAACTTTTATTTCAAATTAATTTGGAAATAAATTTTTATTTAATCAAATTAATTCCATACAGAATATTATTTTTGTAAAACTTCAAAAATTAAAATACTAAAAATCAAAATTTTAATTAATGAAAACCCAGAATTTTATATCTGAAAATTTAGAATTAATTTCTAAAAATCTCACACATAAATAATTTCTGTAATAAAACCAAAAAGAATTTTGAAAATGAAACAAGTGAAAAATTCCATGCAAACTGAATAATTCGAATATGTCTTAAAATTATTGGAACAATCTTCTGTGTAAAAACAATATCGAAATAACAAAAATAAATTACTTACAAAATTATTCTTGTATCAGAAATCAAAACAGCAAAATGTCGATCAAGTCGAGTATGTGACACTTTGTCCTTAAAATAGATTCACCACCGCACTGGTACTTATGGATTTAATGGCATCTATCTCCCAAGATACAATAATTAATGTCACAGATTGTAATAACACTACAAATAATCTGTTTAGGTGAACCAAAACTTGAGTTTTATAACTCTCTTAAAACTCTAAGAACTAGTGTGAAGAACAAATGCAAGAGGGAAAGAAAACAAGAAGAAATGAATGAATTGAATCTGCTTGAGGATTCTGTATTTATAGGCAAATAGGTGTTTGTTCGGAAGGGTAGAAAACCCTTCAAACAGGTGTGAAATCTTAAACCGCCAAAAAATGTATAGAGACGACTGGAGAGGTACTGTTCTGGAGGCAAAATTCGAATTTTGAATTTTTTTCCCACAAAATTTGAATTAATTCGTTAGGAATTTAAATTTTCCAACAAGCATTCAAATAAATTTTGTCCAAAAAATTAAAGTTAGGACCCGACCTAGACGAACGATGACGCGTGTGTGGTGGATTTGGGTCAACCCCACTTTGTTCATAACTCCATTCCTTATAAAACTTGAGGTGCCGTAGGGGCCCATCACAAGTATGTCAACCTAAAACTTACATATACATACAAGCTCTCTTATTGTTTCTATGTAGGATAACCAAAGTAAGGTAACCCACATTTGTCTTTTCAATTTCCTATTTTACGAAACCAAAAACGACATCAACTTCCCATTCACCTATAAATGGTTTTGACGAACCATCTTCACCATGTGACTTGCCATGCGCCAAGGAACATATTTCTACTTAGACCCACCTCAAAAGACGTGTGAACTCTACTTAAATTTGGGCTCAAAGTTAACTCGAAATAAGCCACTGGTGTTGAAAATTTTAATACTTTTTGGAAGTAAATTTCAAAAATCATGAAATTATCTCGACAGTTGATTTCCAAACATAGTGAAAATTTGCAATACTAGTTTGCCGAATGAAAATAACGAATAGAAAAGAAAAAAAAATCAATTTTTACACGTAAAACTCACATTTTTATCGCTACATTAGTTGTAATGGAGGATAATAGAATGTAGTTATAGAAGACTTGAGAGAAATAATAGAGGAATAATATAAGTTTTAAATTATGTTTTTTTCAAAAAATGTGTACTGAGAATTATTGTTTCTAAAAGATACCTATAGAGAAAATTTAATGTATATATTGATATATTTTTTTTATGATAAAACTATAATAAAAATTTCTTACATTAAATATGTGTAGAGATTAAAAGATTTGTGAAAATAGAATTTCTGCCAAAAAAAAAAAAAACAAAAACATTGTCATATATTATGACACTTTAGTCCTATCATGTCAAATTTTAGCTTGCCCACCCTCCATAGACATACTCTGAAACTGGAAGGCGAAACGACCATGATCTCGCAGTTCTTCGTGCTTTCGCAGAGAGGCGACAACATCGTCTTCCGCGTCTCGCAGTTCTTCGTGCTTTCGCAGAGAGGCGACAACATCGTCTTCCGCGACTGTGACCTCTCGCTCTCTCTCTCTCTCTCTCTCTCTCACACACACACACACACACATTCATATGCCCAATTTTCTTTTAGATCTCATCAGGAAAGAAAGTTGTGTTTCCAATTCCTCTTGATCTCTTCATTATTTGATTTCCATGTAATGACAATTGTGGTTACAATGGAGCTCACTGATCTGCATTTTCTAGCTGTTGATCGGAATCTTTTCCACATTTTCATGTTATTGATTGAATTTTTATTGCAAATTGATGTTTGAAACTTATGTTAAATGACCAATCACAATTCTGTATGATGGCACAATTAGGCTAGCTATTGGAACTCAATCAATCCTGGGTTGTTTCTAGTTTTGATTCGCAATTGGGCTGTTATGGATGTTTGGTAGTTAAATTGTTAGTACCACTATGCAATGACATTGTTTAAGCTTTGAGTTTTCTTTAGCTCTAATTGGTGTTTGTTATTTTTAAATTATTTTTATTGTTGATGCATTATTATGATGTATGCCTTCTTCCCTGAAGAGCTTTCAAAACCAATGCCTGCAAAGATTAATATGTCTGGTCTTTTGGGAAGTTAACTGACGGTATTGGGTTTATTTAATATTCATCAATTAACAAACTTAATGCTCTTATACACAATTATTATAAATGTACAATGGACAGACACCTAAGGCCAGCTCCAATCATGACTCAAATATGAGTAAAAGCTTCATTTGATATGAAAAACTCCAATGGAAAAATGCCAATTTTTACTCAAATTATTTTTAAATTTTTCCATCATATAAAAAATGAGAATTCAATAAATAAATGAAGCACATATAACCTTTGGACATTTGAGTCAAGATTTAAATCAAATCTCCCTTCATTTGTGTAAAATTTGAATAAAACTTAATTTGATGAGTTTGAATCAAGGAGTGAACAGTTTGTGTTGTTTTTTCACTCAAATTAACATTTGGATAAGGATGCCCTAAACATGCCATTTATTGTGAGCAAGAAAAAGAAGAGAATGCCTAACATTACAGTAGCAGGATTTTTTGGCGTCCATCAACATGTGAGGTAATTAGGTAATTTTTAGTATTTGAACTCACTTGAGGTCACATTTTCTAGGTTAATTTATTTCCTAGTGTTTTCCTTATTTTGTTTTTCACTTTACTTCAAGTAGATATTCTGTTAGGAACTTGACTAATACACCAAAAGATCTAAGTCTAATGGAAGGTGTAAGATCAATTCTTATATTCCATCACATGATGGAATAGCTCTATCCATGCCCCATAATACAAGCTACTCTATAGCATTTGAACTCGTTATCCTGGTGGGCCCAACCTATGTTATGGTACATGGGTTGGCCTATTCTGGTAAGGAGTCAAATAGAGGAATTGATCTCATGCATTCTACCAGACCTTGGTCTTTTAACATATTGATCAAGTTCCTAATATTTGTTGTTAAAAGTAGCACCACAACATGAGTTCAAGCCTCCAAGGAGTGGCTGACCTAGAGAATGGATTAAAATAACTTGTTAAGGTATTGAATATTGATTGGTAAGTAGAGTCACTAAAGGAGAAAGGGGCAACCATCGAGTTAGTGTCGATTAAGTAGATTGTCATAGATGTCGGGCTTAGAAGCGTACGATCCTAGTTGGCCCAACCTATGTATGGGGCATGGATTGAGCCCAAGAAGCATGGACACTTCTAAGAAGGTGACATATCCGTGTCGTATCTGTGTCAGACACCGACACTCTTTGGACACTGTTAGGACACTTGTCCGATACTCTTCAAAATGTGTCCTATTTTGAATTTTTTTTTAAAAATCCGGACACTCTTTGGACACTTGAAGGATATATTGTCAATCACTTAAATACACTTGTTTATCGATTAAACGCATGTGAAACTAATTATAAGTTTGAATAAAACAACTTAAGATACAATAATAAAACAAAACTCATATAAATTTGTAGGAATTAGTGTCATATTGCATTTTTTTATTAACTTTGAATGATATATTTATATATATAACATATAATAAATATATAAAATTATTTATTCCATGCGTGTCCCCCACATGTTATGTCCTTCATTTTTTGAAAATTAACGTCCCAGCGTGTCCGTGTCCGTGTCATGTCACGTGTCCGTGTTCATGTTCTTGTCCGTATCCATGCTTCTTAGGATTGAGTTATTTTGTTATGGGACGGATTATAAAAATTGATCTCACAGTTCCTTTAGACCTACACCACCACGTTTTTGCGCTGACATCACGGGGGGCCTACTCAGACATTCAATGGTAGCTCTTTTTCCCTTGGTGGTTCCACTTACCTAGTATTTTGAACACCTTAGTAAGGTATTTTAAAATTTTAATCCAGCCCATCGTCGCCCCATTCGTGGCTTGAACTCATGTCTTGGCGCTAGCTCTAAAATTAGATGTTAGGAACTGGACTAATACGCCAAAAGACTCAGGTATCATGAAATGTGTGAGATCAATTCTTGTATTCCATCTTATACCAGAATAGCCCAGCCCACACCTGATGCCATATGTTGAGTTCACGAGGATCATAACACACTCTCCCCGCTTTCTTCTTCCCCCCTGAACCTCTTGCATAATTGTTTTTGGGCCTACATTCTTCTATACATGGTTATTTAATTTTCATGGCTTTTTAACTAAGAAATGGGGTTGTTAAATGTATGAGGATGACTCAATTTGACTTCCCCCCCTTTTATAATTTATTGTGTAGACTTAAGTTTTTGTTGATTATATAGTTGTTTTGATGCAGACCGTGGTGATGTACAAAGAGGAAGTGCAGAGATTTTTTTCCGCAAAGTTAAGTTTTGGAAAGAGGATGGTGAAGAGGAGGCACCACCTGTCTTTGTAGGTATTTTTTCCTTTTTAAAAATTGATTAATTCTAGGCACTTTAATTATTCTGTTGAAATATAGTCTCGCTGAATATCTCATACATAGTTTTTTTCTTCTCTATTTTGCATCTTTGTGGCTCTTTTAAGAGTTAAAAAATTAACTTTATTCAACATATAGTTTGAAAACAAAGTTCATCCATTTAACTTATAGTATCTTTAGCTGAACTACTTATTGATCCCTTCTTAGATTAGTACTGAGACTAATAATTTGTACTGTCAAAATACGATTGTAAACTTCACAACTATATGTGCCCATAGTTGAAATAATAAAAATCTGCTATAATGTCCTCCTGGTCTCTTCTCTTCCATCTTTTTTGTTCATTACTTTGCATCTGTATCCTATATTACCTGTGGAGTATTGTAATTAAATTATGTTGGTCAATTGAACACACTAATGTTATCACATGCTTTTCTTTCTTTTCAACAGAACGTTGATGGTGTGAACTACTTCCATGTGAAGGTTGTTGGATTGCTGTTTGTTGCAACCACGAGAGCCAATGTGTCACCTTCTCTTGTCTTGGAACTTCTACAGAGGATTGCACGTGTCATCAAAGATTACCTTGGAGTTCTCAATGAAGATTCATTTCGGAAAAATTTTGTGCTTGTGTATGAGTTGCTTGATGAAGTTGTTGTAAGTATCCTGTCATGATGTGCATCTTTGTTGGATGTACTGTTTCATATGCATCATAAATGAGAAAACTGTCTTTTCTTGCAAGTGAGTCGTCCTGTAAGAGTCAAACAAAAGCAGATGTCCTTCACTGTGCTCCTTGTCTTTCCTCTTCATGAAAGTTAACCTTCCACTTCGTTCTTCCCATCAAAGAAAAGTAGTTTGTATAGTTCATTACCATGTTTTAAGTACTCATTCTATGGGTTGGAAGTTTCTTTCTAGTTTATACAAAAAATTACTAGAATGAGTACTAGCTGCTCAACTTTGGAGCTTTACTTGGAATCAGACTGCATCAAATACAAATTCACAACATGTATCATGTGCCTAGTTTCTTTTTGCTTAGAAGAGTTTGCATATGTAAAGTTCCAGAAAATCCAATTAAGCTTGGTAATTTTTTTTGCAGCGTTCTCACAATTTACCAACTTTTCTGGCTAATCTAAAAACTTACGAGCTTAAACATGACTTAATTTATTTACTTATTTATTTTTGTGCCAGGATTTTGGTTATGTGCAAACAACTTCCACCGAAGTCTTGAAGTCCTATGTATTTAATGAACCAATTATGTTTGATGCTGCACGCTTACCAACCCTTGGCCCTGCGGCAATCTTTATGGTATTATGTTATTTGATTAATCATATTACAAATAAGTAGACTCATGTGGAATCTAATTCTAATTTTTGCATAATGTGTATGATATGTTTGACTTTACAACCTGGATGCATGCAGCACGGGAGCAAAAGAATGCCAGGGACAGCTGTCACAAAATCTGTTGTAGCAAATGAACCTGGGGGTCGGAAGAGGGAGGAAATTTTTGTGGATATAATTGAGAAAATAAACATTACATTCAGTTCTAGTGTGGGTATTTGTCTCTTTAGCTTAATCAAAAATTCATGTGATATTCATTTATCTTAGAATTGCAACAATTGCAGTGTTGTGTTAAGAAATTAATCAAAAGAGGTGAACAGCCTACATAAAAAGTTGCAAAATATTTTATTTATAATTACAATAATCATAATTTCTGGGAAAATAATATTCCATTTCTTAAGCAACAATGACATTGTATAGGAAAATACACATTATAATTATATGTATATATAGATTTTGTTTTCATACACTCTGGAGCCATTTGAAACTGGTTATGGATATTACACTGCTACTCTTATTCTTGAATCTCTTGTCAAATTCTATTCTTGGTATATAATCATAATTTTCTTGCTTTTCATTGACAAGTGTCTCCTAATTTGACTCTGAAACTCTCTCTTATGCCTCATGGGCTTCCTATTCAAGCTCTCATTTAACAAAATGGTATCGGTTAAACAGGGATATATACTGACTTCTGAGATCGATGGCACTATTCAAATGAAGAGTTATCTTACTGGCAATCCAGAAATCCGATTAGCCCTCAATGAGGACCTGAGCATAGGAAGAGACGGGAGATCAATCTATGGTAGCAACATGCTTTATTTTTATTTTTTTGCCAAAAAAAAATTGATTTATTTTTCTTGTGATGCTTAGCGTCATCATTCCAAGTGTGGAAAAGTATGGACTAGCATGAAAGTTAAAACTTTGAGCCCTCTTCTACATCTTGATACAATTACATGCATTTTAAGTTTGTTCAAATAGGTTTATATGTTTCCTTCATTATTTTTTTTGGTCTCTGCGCTAATGACAGAGTGGGCTGTGATTGGCAAATTGTTATCCTCTTATAGACATAGTTGTCAAATTGGGAGATTCGTGTGTCATTTTTTTTTTTTTTTCCCCTGAATCGTGTATCGTGTCGTATCGTGTCATGTATTGTAAGATTTTTTAACACTTTTAAAAATAGGTTGAAAAATAAATATGGTTATAGGAAAAACAAATATATTTTGAGAATAAAACACGAAGCGGTAATCCTTCAAATTGCATAAGGTTTTTTAAATTAAAGATATGCATATATCAATACTTAATGCATATAAAATGCTTAGTGGAGTTAAAATATGTATAACAAAAAATATAGCATTTCAGCACATTATTAAATTCTTGAACCAAATTTACCCTCAAATATCATTCATAATGATTTGGTAATATGTTGCACATATTTTCTTCACTAACAATTTATGTTTTAATAATTTATTTACAACTTTCAAATTCTCAAATAGCTTGTTCATAGTCTGATAAAAATAAAAATAAAAATAAAAAATATCTTGGTCATAGTAGCAAATGTTAAACTTTAACCAAGTAAGTAGGCGTAAATCAATAACACAATATGCTTAATACCATACAAGTCAATATTTGTCAAAAAGGTAGACAAAATAAAACAAAAGGTACACTTCATCTAAAAAATAATATTTTTTAACAAGTTAATGAAAATTGCTGACAATATTAATTTACATAATTGAAGATCAATTATTTTTTCCAAAATTGCCAAAGAAATTTAAGTATTGATGTAACATATGTATTGGATCATGTATCATGTACGTATCATATATCGCATCACATATCATATATTTCTCGTAAGATACATTTAATTTAAGATATGTATTGATGATAGTAATGATTTTACCTCTAGAAAATTGTAATATATGTTCTTGAATCAAAAAATACTGACAACACTTTTACAGATAAGGTTGTTCGTGGACACATGTTAACACATGTTTTTCATCACCTCAATAAATTTCTGCTTTCTGAAACAGATTATGGTGGTTCCTTTGGCTCTGGACCAGTGATTCTAGATGATTGCAATTTCCATGAATCTGTAAATCTTGGTAGCTTTGAGATGGACAGAACTCTGACTTTGGTGAGTTATACAAGACAATGTAACGTTGAAAGTTGTATTTCAGAGTGTGCCTGTTTAAAACCACTCCTGTTAAAATGGATGCCTCGTCTTGATAACATTTTCAGGTGCCACCAGATGGTGAGTTTCCTGTCATGAATTACCGGATGACCCAGGAATTCAAGCCTCCTTTTCGTATTAACGTTTTGATTGAAAAAGCTGGCCCACTTAAGGTATATATTACCTTTCTTGTTTAATTAAATAATCAAAAGGTTTTTAACAGCAACAATGGCAGTTACTGGGATAATTGCCTCTAGGAATGCCAATTTTAAATTACTAAGTCCAAATCTTCATTTTGCTCTTCCTGTTTAAGGCTGAAGTGATTCTGAAAATACATGCTGAATTTGCCTCTACCATTACTGCAAACACTATTCAAGTGCAGATGCCACTACCAATGTATACCTCTAGGTATTGTTCAATACAGTTAATTTCTGTCTGGAAGGTAAAAGCAGACATTTTTTATTATTGGTTTTGGGATCTACTAACTAAATATTAATTTTTAGCAACGTTATGTCGATACTTCTTAATGGATGGATGTTGTTTCATCAAGAAAGTGTATTAGACATGGTCTTCAAAGCTTAAGTAAATATAGCATGGTTTTCAGAATATAAGTAAATGCGGCATGCTAAAATGTGTGTGATCTGAGGGTACCAATTTTGTATGAGATTGGCATATATTTGATGCACCTGGTATTAAATTTATTGAATACATGAAAAGGAATGCTAAATATTCAAAATATCTGAAGATATTATTGGAGATAGAATATAGGCCAACCCTTTCCACTTATGCAAATGCGTGCGCACACACAGATCAACCAAAATAAGTTATCTAGCTTGCGAAGCAAGTCTTTTTCTTTCCTTATTTTTTTAAAATCCAAATTGGAGCAAAAATTTGAATTTATATTTTCTGGTAGTCTGAGTAGTTAACACTTAGGAGTAATCTTGGTGTGGGTTCTTCAGATCTTTTAGTGCTTGTGTGTTTTGAAAAATGTTGACTGTAACTTAAAACATAAACAATGAGAACTAATAAAATTAAAAAAGGCAGACTCTTTTCTTTTTCCTTTTTCTTTCCTTTTTTTTAATTTAAATTTGTTTTTAATGAAGTTGCGTTTTATCGTAGTACTGATGTTTGCTCATTTTAACTCCACTTCATCGTATTTCAGAGTCAGTTTTGAGTTGGAACCTGAGGCATTTGGACAAACGACTGATTTCAAGGAGTCAAATAAGAAAATTGAATGGAGTCTAAAAAAGGCAATGTTTCTTCTCAATGCTTTCGCGTGCCTACTATTCAATGCATTTGTAAAAAATTTTATGGCTCAACTTAAATTACTTTGTGGTGCAATGCACAACAGATTGTTGGTGGATCTGAACATACACTTCGTGCAAAGCTGACATTTTCACCGGAATCACATGGTATGATTTTGTCAATACCTTACAACAAGCACCTTGAAAATTAGATCTCAGTCAATTGTAGCGATATATATAACTCTACCAGACCAAACCAAACCAAACAAAACTAAGTTATATGAATCCTTTTTCACCATTCTATTCTATTAAGGGTTATATGCCCAGTTAAATTAAAGAATAAAGCTTCTCTCCAGTCCATATAAATGGACTGGACAGTGCAGTTCTCTAGCAGTGGGCTCATCTTGGGCCCATTTTGATAATCCAAATCATTCATCCTGTAGAGACCACCATGAAAATTACCCGTGCAAAAAATTAAGTTAATTGAATATCGGCAGTCACATGATAAAATCACAAAATCATGCAAAAAAAATTGATGAGTAGAATTTTAAGAATAGATCGTATTTTTTTTGCATTATTTTGTGCACCAATCATGTGGCTACTGAATTCAATCAATTTGATTTTTTGCTTGGATAATCTTTTGAGCGGGCGTTGTCAGATACGGTTTGGATTATCAAGATAAGCTCGGGATGGGCCCACAACAAGAGAACTGCCCCATCCAGTCCATTTATATGGACTAAAGGGAAAAGTTTATTCTAAATTAAATAAATTCATAAATTTTTTTACTACATCCCATGTCAGTTTAGATCTTTTCCTCCCTTTACATTTCCATTTTTTTTTTAATGCAATTATATTGGTTAAATAGGAAACATCACAAAGGAAGCTGGCCCAGTGAGCATGACCTTTACAATACCAATGTATAATACCTCAAGGCTTCAGGTAAAGATATACTCCTGGTTTTACTGATTAACAATCATTCTACCTTCACATTGGTAAATCAGTCTGGCCCATTTGGCAATAGCTGTTAGTGACTCCATTTCATATCCATTCCCATTCATTTTGATTTCATTTGGCTCAGTGACTTGTGATATATAATACATGTATCATATGTAACTAATGGTGAATAATAATTATGCAAGTTATTGTCGTTTGTTCTATCACAGAATGCAAGTGTAGAACTCTAGCTGTATTGTATCTTTTAGTCATTTGATTGCCTAGTTTTTTGCTATGGTCTTTTGATACAGGTGAAGTACTTGCAGATAGCAAAGAAATCCAAAACTTGCAATCCATATCGATGGGTGAGATATGTTACCCAGGCTAATTCTTATGTTGCCCGTATATGATAGATGGAAGCAACTCTCTTTGTTGTCTTTATTTTTTATATTTCATTCTTTATTTCTTTCTTTTGCCTCAAATTTTTTTATATTTTTTCTTGAGCTAAATCTTATGTTTTCAATTGATTTTTTAAAAATATGCACGCTAAATAAATTGCATATATCCTCATACTGTTTCATTTCTCTTTTTAGTTTTTCCCTTAAGAACTATATCTTCCACATTGTTGCAATGAATATAACTACATATGCATGCCGTTTGGAGTCATTCATTAAAAACATCATACAAAGAGCTTTGGTCGGTTAAACACATTAAAATAATAACAGACAGACGGACCCGTGTCAGAAAATTTGAAGTTTCTGGTGAACGACGTCTTATTGTATACTTCTCTAAACAACCAGTGATGGGAAACAAGGATCAATGATCATTGGGTATTAATTGTCCACATGGGCATTTTTTGCTGATGGCAGGTAAACTTCTGTTGACTTTTTGTCAAGATTTGACCTAATTTTTTGGTAAGTGGATGAGAAGGTCAACTAACAATACCTAGCTCTTTCTGATAACAGTGCTTACCTGTCCAAATTGCTGCATCCCTCTATAAAACCCCGAAACAAACCCTTGCATGTAGTAATCCATTCTCAAGAGGAACCATTAGACATTTTTCTCTCTCCGGAATTGCATCGTCAGGTTGAACCAACATGGCTTATTATTGGAACTCATCATACCTTCTGCCTCTGTTGCTCATCACTTCGTTAGCTGTTAGCGGTAACAAAGTACTTGCAGCTCGCTCTCTCCTTGACACAACCTTCCCTAAAGTTCCTGAGCTTCCTAAGTCTGAACTGCCCTCTCTGCCAAAACCCGAATTGCCACCTATGCCTAAGTTTGAAATTCCACCTGTGCCTCACGTCCCAACTTTACCCAAGCCCGAACTGCCACCTTTGCCCAAGCCAAAGGTGCAAAAACTGCCCGAATTGCCTCCCCTGCCTCATCTCCCTGATCTGCCCAAGCCCACATTGCCCTCCATCCCTGCCCTTCCAAAGGATTTTCCCATCCCTTCCCTATCCTCGCCTCATTCGGTCACTAGTCCTTGAGTTTTTCTCACATTCTTTCAAGTCTTCCAACACCTATGGGTTGTGATAGTAGTGTTAATGTATTATGCTAAGGGGATCATATCCATATCATATCCGAGTTTCCTCCCCCTTGATTTGTTAATTGGTTGGTAGGGATTTGTTTTTCTCGTGTGTTTTTCCATGTAGCTTGTCTTTGTTATGGTGGTTGCTTTCCTAGGGTTTGTGTAAGATGGGTTATGTTTTGAATAATATTTGTATTTTCTAATAATAGTTGTTTTTTTGTTATATGTGTTTCTTTTCATGATTAACTATGATTAACTCAACCATGAGATTGTTGGTTAATTTTTGAAATTATGAAAGCGGGGAGGGGTAAAAAAAAATGTTTAGAACATGTTGAAGTGAAAGTGAAAGCCTTTTGGCTTTGATACTAGTCATGCTCATGGGATTTTAGCAGAATATATATCAAGTGCAATCAATTGCCCTAACAAGGAATAATCTTGGGAATTCTGTGACTGTTAACTAGTCCAGTGTGGATGGTATGGACAAACGGTTTTTTTTTTTCTTCTTTCTTTTCTTTTGAGGAAAAATGGACAATGGGTTTGTTTGGTGCTGTTGATTATAAATTAAAAGTTGATAATCAGAAGACAAAAATTAAAAGCATTCCTCCTCCAGCTATCATATAATTAATTTTTTCAACTTATTTAAGCTATTTTTGTTTTATAAGTTGTAAGTATAAATTGCATTAAATAGTCTGAGGCAGAATATAAATTAAAATAAGTTATAATCAACTCATTTAAGTGGTAATAGACAACCCTAATGCGAAATTAAACATGCACATGGCTAGACATGTGAATGAGCTTGGTATTTAATATTATGCATATTTTCCGACTTTCTAAAAAAAAAAAAAAATTAGTTTTGATAATCAGAAGACAAAAATTAAAAGCATTCCTCCTCCAGCTATCATATAATTAATTTTTTCAACTTATTTAAGTTATTTTTGTTTTATAAGTTGTAAGTATAAATTGCATTAAATAGTCTGAGGCAGAATACAAATTAAAATAAGTTATACCCAACTCATTTAAGTGGTAATAGACAACCCTAATGCGTAATTAAACATGCACATGGCTAGACATGTGAATGAGCTTGGTATTTAATATTATGCATATTTTCTGACTTTCTAAAAAAAAAAAAAATTAGTTTTTGTAATAATAGGGTTGGCAAACATTCAGCTGAAACATATCCAATTCATCTAACTTGACTCAACTTGATCTTAAATGGACAGTTTCAATGCAATAGCCAGACTGATGCACAACTCACAAAAGTCAACCCAACTGCATAACTAGAATTTTTTCTTAAATATTGATATATATATCCATATTATTTATTTGTTTGATAAATAAAATATTGAAATTTGAAAAGAAAGCTTTTAACTTTTCAAAAAGCAACACTCTTGTTCCTCATTGTTCATTTAAAAAAATTAAGATATTGTATAGGTAAATTATGACTTAACCCTCTGCGATTTACCCAAAAAACACGGAACTCTTCTAGTTTAATTTGTAACACTTAAAACCCCTAATACTTCATACCAAAGTACCATTTTGGACGGACGTAACAGAAATTGTAAAAAGTCTAAATTACCTTTATTTATTTCTCTAATTTTCTTTTTAATGCCATTACAAACTACTAGTCAACAAACTGTACAGTTCATTTGGTCTTGATAGAGGCAACGGGTGTATTAACATCCTTTGGAACAACATCTCCACGGTACATCAAGCAACATGCCATATATTTCCCATGCCTCAGATCACATTTCGCCATCATGCTTGCAGGCTCAAACACTAAATTTGTGATCTCAAGTATAGATAACTGCTCATGGTATGCTTTCGCAATTGAAAGTCAGGGGCATATGAGGAGAGCATGAAATGTATACGAGGATATAGTACAAGGTTAGTCTGAAACTGTGACGTCCACATTAATGGCCCCATCAAACCTTAAAGAAGTTGTCAAAGACAATATTATTTGGGAAATCAATCTGTTCAAATTGGTATAAATTGGCCTTTCAATGTCTAGGGATCTCTGGCAGATATCGTAAATGGCTTCATTGTCCAAAAGCACAGCCACATCTGTGTGCTCGAGGAGAGAGTGTATAGAAAGAACACTGTTATAAGCCTCCACAATGCTATAGATGAAGCAACAGAAGAGGGTGGATGATGAAAAAGAAAGAAATAGATTTGGAGATGCTTCTTTGAAATGTGTGAAGTTAGTTTTCGGACAACTTTCGGTATACCGAAACCACCCATTTTAGGAAGAAGTGAGAAAACGAGGTAGTGTAGGATGAAGTATAAAGTAAGGTGAGGAGATTGGTGAAAGAACGGGATAAAATCGTTAAGAATCTAGAAAATTATAGAGTTCGAAAGATGGGCCAAAGGAATGTCAAAAACAGGAAGAAAAAGTGGATTTGGTTGGTATGGATCCCATCTATGCTATTTCAAAAATCTAAATGTTTACACATATTAATTGTTTGATTTCATGGGTTGGGTTTGTTACTAATTTGAATTATAAAAAAAAAAGTGGGTTTGAATAATTTTTAGAGAGAAAAATTGTGGCGGTGATTTTGAGTGGTGGTTTTGCATGGAATAAGAAGTTGGTTGTGGATAATTTTTAGAGAGAGTTATGGTGGTGATTTTGAGGAGTGGTATTGCATGGGATAAGAAGTTGGTTGTGGATAATTTTTAGAGAGAAAAGTTGTGATTTTGAGTGGTGGTTTTGCATGAAATATGATGATGGTGATGTTGGTTGGTTGTGATTTTGCGTGGAAGGTGATGGTAGTGAGATGAGAGGAGAAATAAAAGGTGATGGTGGTGGTTTTGCATGGAAGGTGATGGGGTTGCATATTTATATAATGAGAGAGAGAGAACTTGAGGTAAATGAAACAAACAAAAGGATGTTAATGCTTGAGGTAAATGAAACTCATGCACTGTTGCAAGCATGAAACCCATGCTTAAAGGATGTTAATGCTTGAGGTAAATGAAATACATGCTCAAACACTGAATTTTGTTTGGGGATAAAGATGTTAATGTTTCGCCAAGAATATAATCTATTCTCTGTTGCATTACACCATTTTGTATATGTATATGGCAATAAGGGTGTTTTAGTCATTTATCATATTTTTGGGGCAAAAAAAACTACTCCACTCATCATTTATGATCGTGCAACACGTTCTATTTAAACAAATAATTCCGACAAAACTTACGCTTTGGTATAAAATATAAGGAGTTTAAGTGTTAGAAATAAAATTATAAGGGGCTCCGTATTTTTTAAGCAAATCACAAGGGATTAAATCATAATTTACCCTATTTTATAAAATAAGATTTTTGAATAAAAAAGTTGAAACTTTTTTATTTATTTATTTTTTTTCTGGTGAAGTTGGGATTTATTCAACCATATAACCAGAGCGGTCAACCCACTCGATTAATTTTGAAACCATATGCGGTCAGATGTGGATAGGATATTCCCCAAATCCATTTCAGTCATGACACAACCGCAACGCTTATATAATTATTTTTAACCCAAATCATCTTCCCCAAACAAGCTCGTACATTCTTCTTACCAAAAGCAGGAAAATACATTTTTGTACGCTTGGACGCCATCCGCCAAAATTGCACCTTTTTTTAAAAAAATCTTTAAACACTCACACTATAATCCCATCCATCTTTTTCTTGGATTTTCAACCTGGCAAAAAATACTTTTTCCTCAAGCAACCCCTCTCCCACCAACAACCCTGCTTTTCTCCAGTAAAAATTTAGTAATTTTATTGAAAAATCTCTTGACATCTCTGGCATCACTCCCTCCAACCCTAACACTCACCCATCCTCCTCTGCCACTCCTCTCTGACAAACCCTGCCCCATCACCCCCAGCCCCGTTCCCGCCAACGGCTGTCACTTCCTCTCAAATTGTCTAGATTGCCTCAGTTACTTCATCATTTTATTCTGTATGAAAATTTCTTCACCAGCTTGCATCAATATACAAAATCTCATGGTTACAACCATATTTTACATTGGTGATTCATTATAAGTAACTTGACTGAAACCAAAAATAAAAAACTAAACCACGATCACTAATTACAACTTGTAAAACACTCGAGCAGATCTTTATTTAATTTATAAAAACAAAAAAAAAAAAACTTTATGCATAAACATTAAGCACCGGTGGCATGCCCCGTCATTGTACAACACGTTAGAAAACAAAATGTTGTCTAGTGTAAGATGTTAAACAGAAGGTGGTGCACTTGTTTGCAATTTCATTCGAACCTCATCAAGACTAGCCTGAAGATCAGTAAATTCCTCCATGTCAGAAAAGCTCCCAGCCTGAAAGTACAAAAATGGATCTCATCTCACTTTATGCAAAAACATGGTAAAGAATGTTGACAAAGACTGAAATCGTCAATATCAAATAAATAAATAAAAATAGCACTATCAAACCATCTTGTTTGGTTTTTTTTTTCCAAAAATTATATTTTAGTTTTTAGTTTTTTGCAATTTTTTCTCTTTGGTGAATTTTTAATATATATATATTTTATGGAAATGTGCCAATGTTTTGGGTTTTTTTATTTATTTATTATCTTTAGTTAACTTTTTCCGATTTCTTCATATATAATATACTTTTTAGGTGCCTCTAAAAAGTTTTTTTAAAAAAATGATTGAAATATTAAAGTTAACTAGAAAATAGTTTTTGAAAACCAAACCAAACAAGGTATCTTTTCAAGATTGAAAGTTTATATCTTGCCTGTTTAATAATGTTCTTCAAGTGCATCTCAGCAGCAAAAAGTTGTTGACGACTGCCAGTACAAGAAAAAATTTCCACATACACCTTACAAAGTTCCAATGAAGCATGTGCGAACTTCTTAAACCGATCTTTGTCTTTCCACAAATCAGACCCCTGTGAGAGCAAAATTAGCAACAAATATGGTGATGACAACATATCACAGCAACATACATCCTTCCATCAAAGAAATTTGGTTCATCTTAAGGATGATGCAACAGACTTCTTAAAAGAGATTATATAGGAGAACTAAAAAAACAAGCAATAAGTCTACTGACACAAACCGACCATAGAACCAACCACATAAAAGAGAAAGATCAGAGGGCACCGTTTTCATACTCATAATTCCACTGCCATTGTGAGTAGACAGTAGAGAATGGTGTGTCCGTAGGGCCCCACAAAACATAGGGAGAACAATCTGAGTGAAATTGTATCTTTCATGATGGGTCCCACCATGTGATATGTATGGTTAGGATTGTTTCATGTGGTTGGCCGTGTGATCTCATCTGTGTCCATAAACTTCATAAATATATTCTTCAGCATGCATTTCTCTACTACAAACTTGGCAATTGCAGCAAACAATATTAGACTCTGGGAAAATTATAGTTGTTTGGGAAAATCAACTGCAGGTGTGAAATGATTAAAAAAAACAAACAATTGAAATAAAGTTCCAAGTGAAAAATGAAAAAGAAAATGGAGAAGAGGGAAAAAACCATGCCAACAAGAGGGATCCAAATATAGTAGATCAGCCTATCACTATGAGGTAAGTACACTCTCAGCGGTTTGGCGAACCCTAGGGCACGGGAATGCAAATGCTGTAGCTATGGCCCAGAATCCTTGCAGTTGGTTATACATATAGTATCAGGCTGAAATTACTGAAGAGTATAGGCCAGTAAGATTATAGATTGAGAATGTTACCCACAGATTTGATGTGAGAAAGATGAAGAGAAGTAGAAAGTGCACGACGAGAGGTGTGTAATTGTCAAGTTCTTATTGAGCTTAAGGAAAAAATCTACATGATAAGAGCATCTCCAACCCACTAGATATATAATGTTTGTTAGTCAAAATGCCAAGTATGACTCACTTTTTTTAACTCCAATGCACTAGGCATATGATTAGGCATTTTAACTCAACTCACATTCACTAGCTACATGTAGCTAGCCTTCAAGGCCAGGCAAAATGTATTTAATCATTAGGATTATTTCCCTCCATCTTTGTTGTTGATGCGGCATTTTATAATGTTAATAGTATTTGGATAAATAGCTAAAATACAGATAATGGTTGGAGTAAAAACATAAAACAGTTAATAGGCAAAATAAAATGTATACTTTATAGTAATGTTTAGATAGGTAAAATGCCTATTACCGTTGGAGATGCTCTAACCATAAAGCCAATTATGTTGCATGTTACAGAGTTTTTATTCTGCTTTGTTCCTCTTTAAATATGTTAAGTTTCTTTGCCTTTCCATCTTTACATTTTGGGATGTCCCAAAAAGATAGTCCACTTCGAAAAGTCAAAGCACGAAGTGTGCAAGTTTTCAAAATTATCCCTAATAAACAATTGCCAGTATATTTGGAAGTGGGAATAAAGGGGCAATTGCTGGAAATAATGCCTTCAAATTTGAATTTCAATGCATTTATTGCATGTCCCCTTAAAAGGTTGGAATTTCTAAAACGGACAAACAAAATGGGAAAGAGAGATTATGTTAAGTTCCTCTCTCTCAAAAAAAGCCCATTACGAAAACAAAGATGAATTGTATCAACACCCATAATGAAATGTTATATGTATATATATATATATATAGAGAGAGAGAGAGAGAGAATGTAATAAGGAAAATAGTACATAAAAACTGTAACAATGTGATACAACATTTATAACATGGATGGCGTGTTACCTGGTATGATCTAACTTGCTTTAGAAGGGCCTCAGAGCACATTGTGAGATCTCCTTTAAGTTTGTGCCACCTTGCATACAATCCCCACATTTCTGATCCTCCACCACTTCGAACAATCTAAATCAGAGAGACAAATGCTTAATATGATCTTCACATATGTTTCCCCCTTTTGGGCAAATTATGTTTTCGTAATCATTTGTAATCTAAAATGAGTATAGATGTGATGAGAATATTAAGATAGAAACATAATTTAATACATTTGAAAAATGACAACAGAAGCGTTAATTGAAGATAAATTGAGAGAACAGATCAAAATGATTGGGTCATATACAATGAAAATCAGTAGATGGCATGCAAGTAGGGGCGGCATCGAGCTGCCGATGACTGCTGGCCCGCCCAACCCAGCCCTATTTTTTCCCGGGCTTGCGAAGGGTATTTTGGCCCATAGGGCTAGGCTAGGCCAACATTTTAAGCTCATTTAATAATGAATTGGGCTTGGATTCATGTATGTAGCCAGGCCCAGTTCAGCTCGACAATAGTATATTTAAAATTTTATTGTATTTTATTATTATTCACTTAGTAATATATTTCAATATATATAAATGCCTGTTGCTTATTAGTTTTCTTTTAAACTTCTCCAACACTCTCCAACAGTGGTTACGGTTGTGCTGGGCTAGAGAAAAGGCTAATTTTAAGCTCATTTAATGATGAATTGGGCTTGGATTCATGTATGTAGCCAGGCCCAGTTCGGCTCGACAATAGTATATTTAAAATTTTATTGTATTTTATTATTATTCACTTAGTAATATATTTCAATATATATAAATGCCTGTTGCTTATTAGTTTTCTTTTAAACTTCTCCAACACTCTCCAACAGTGGTTACGGTTGTGCTGGGCTAGAGAAATGTCATGTTTGTTTAAGGTCCCATAACAATAAATGCATTGTAGTTCTTGGAAGTTAATGACTTTGTTTTACTTCTAAAGATTTATTGGCTATGGATTTTATTTATTTATAATTACTGAACTACAACGTTTTGTTTAATCTCTTTTGTATGTTGGAATGATTGGATGGTTTCTAATGTACCTTTTTTTTCCTTCTTTTTCTCCTTATAGAAAATAGCCTGTTTGATTTTATTTTATTTTATTTTTTTAAAAGGCCCACATATATATAGGCTCAATAGGCAGTCTTGAGAAATGTATTTTCTTAAATTATATTTGATCAAATAGGAGGAGAACGAAAGAATTTGGCTACCTGTTGTAAGATTTTCCCAAGGAACTCCACCAAATAATCAGTTTCTCGAATTTCTGCAAGCCTGACTTCTGAATCAGTTGACTCATTTGCACAAGTGACATCAGAATCAGCAGGACGAATTTGATCGGTATAATTATGGTCATTGGTGGCGAGATGAGAATGGGAATGCTTAGTTAAAGAACGCCCTTCAATCTCTAGCATCATCCTCTCTAAAAACTGTGAATCAGATCTTTTATTGCTAGTCATGTCCAACACCTTCTTTGTAGCTTCTAGTGCCTGCCACATAAAATCACCAAAAATTTTCTAGTAAAATGTACATCAACTTACTGTCTCAATTTTGAGGAACATGTCATATTGCAGAATTATATATGAAACATTTACACAAGGAATAGACACCAACAATATCACTTAACTTCGTGCATCTAAAGCATGTCTTATTTAGCATATTGATGAGCATTCTACATTTTCATGTCATTAATATGGAAAACGATTTACAAACAAAATTTCTATACATAAACTCATACAAAATTATGTGTCAGTGGTAGTTTTGCAATTTTAAGAAACAATGATGGTTGTTTTGCCTTGAAATGAAAGGACCACAAATAGCCATATCATTTTGTACACAACGCTTGAATGGAAATTCTGTTAGCATTACCCCATTAATATTGGATGGACATAATATTTTATTAATATAGAACAGATATGGTGGGCCAAGATTGAATATCTTGTTGGTTTAGGGATCCAAACATTTGATAAAAGGTTGCACCCTTGTGGATTGCAAAGGCTATAGCAGAAACTTGGGTTTGACAGTACCTGGTTGCTGAAATTGCAGAACACTGTAAATTGTCACATGCAGCAATTTAGTTGAGAATTTTGGCGTTGACGGAAAAGTTTATGGAGGGAGAGGTTTAGTGTTATGAAGTATGTGTTTACATAGAAAGTCAAAAAAATAAGGAATGCTTCTGGCTGAGCAGGAACTCAGCTTGCATAAAATTTAAATGGGTGAGGGCTGGGGGGTTGTTGCTGTTGTTTGTGTTTTTTAACTTTTTTTTTTGTCATTTCCAGCTGCAGGGTCACAACTCATGAGCGCATCACAACCAGTAAAACTTCATATGCTGCTGAACAACTCTGTAACTGATTTCTCAATAAAATAGAGGGAACAGACATTTGAAAAAACTCACCTCCCAAAGTTTTGAAAAAACTGTGTCAACATAGTAGTATTAGTTAAGAATATGCCTAAATTATATAGAATCGCCACCCCAAGAATTTTTTGAAAAATTTAATACTCACCTCGCCCCCTAAGATATTCTCCTGTTTATAGCCAAAAATCCATAGTTACCCATGTGAAGAAAATCATTTAGAGTGAACGTTTGAAAAACAAAAGGCTCGTGAAACAACTTCCATCAACTTGGATCATCGAATTTGTCCTCATTTTCAAGTTGTAATCTTCACACCAACTCTACGCATGTTTCTTTCTCTCTATCTTTCTCTTATTCTTATTTGTTTCAATTCTCTCCTATCTCTCCTTATCTTCTTTTGTTTAGATTTTTTTCTTCTCTTTTGTTGTTGTTTTGGTTCTCTCCTCAACTCGATCTTTATTTTTGGTTTCTTCTTCATCTTTTCCATATTTATTTCAAAATTTATTCTTTTGCTTCCTTTCTTCTTGTTTCTCTGTTTTGATTCACACTTTTCTTCTTTTTCTTCTTTTATCTTTCAAGAATTTAAGTTGTTTGTAAGAATTGAACTAAGGAGAACGTGATAGAGTTACGTTCTTAGCTTTGTTTCAGATCCTATGGATAGTTATAAGGCTTTCAAAATTGAAATATTTACGAACTTATAAATAAATTTTATCCAATGACTTCACAAAGCAAGAAAACTGCATTTAAAATATCAATTGCAAAACTATGGGATTGGCATCCTTAAACATTCCCATTTTTAAGAGTTGTCAACAATTTCTAAGTTGTGCAAAGTATTGATGAAAACAAAAAATATAGGATGATTTTATAATCTAGTCACATATCTTATTGATCATATTTTTGTAATTATATACATTGAATAAATATATCTAATGATATAGTTTTGTGAAGCTTTTTACATTTTGTGTTGATAGAAATTGATATTGCATTTCACACGTTAATTACAAATGTTTTTCTCATATATACATTCGCCCCCTCAAGGTTAAAATCTCAAGTCAATCCCTGGACACACCAAAGTTTCAGAATCATAGACACACCTGATATCAAAGCCAAACTATACCTATTTAAGGTTACACCTAAACAAACAGTGACATAGCTACACATTCAGTAATAAAACATAAAATGGAGGCAACTACTACAGCTCAATTCAATGCTATATATGATTCCTAACATACAAGTGACATCAGAATCAGCAGGACGAATTTGATCGGTATAATTATGGTCATTCCCTCCATCCAAACCAATACTAGATGAAATCCTCCTTCATTCAACACAATTGGCTAATGCACAAGGACAAGCATCAGTTCACCAACAATCTGACATGCCAAGAAAGTTACCTGACTAAAATTGCCCACATCTGCAGCAACATGGCTAAAATTCTCCCACAACTGCCAGCTGTTCCTCCTGCATTAAGTCATGCTACCATTTTAGCCACTCCAAAATACAAATCAGGGAGTTACTAGTGTGTGCATGTGTATGTACTGTAGAGAGAGAGAGAGAGAGAGAGAGACGGAACTTGAACTTTAGTGCTTCTTTAAATGCAATGAAAGCCTCTTTGTTCTTCTTTTTAATCATATGCCTGCAGAATTGACAAAGTACATTCTAAACTCTCTGAACAACAATGAAAATATGCAAATGGATTTTAGCAGCAAAGCATTCCTCTGAAACGAATTATAAAGAAGAAATATATAAATCTCTATATACTTGCAGTTACCATAGCTCTTCTATGTCATGTTGTTCAAGGATATTTATGCTTTCTTTTCTCAACTTTTTACCAAATCTACTCGTAATCATCAATGGAAGAGTATTGTTCGTCATCTGCAGTACAGTCTAAAATGTTAAGTTCATTGTGGTTGCTACATACATTTGAGCTCTTGCAGTTTTTCTAAAAGTCTCTTTTGGAGCCATCTTCTAATTCTGTATAACCAATATATTTGCAAAGGAATCTATTAGGCGGATATCTATCACATGAGTTTACTTGTGTACATAAGAGGCATAGAGGCCCAATTCTTTTTGGTAAGTCTGGCACAATTATGTTGGTGAAGCTGCTATAAGAATCTTGCACCAGCTGTTTCATTTTTGAAGTGCAGTCAAAAGAACTGTTTTGGCTCTTTTTTTCTTTTCTTTTCTATTTTCCCCTTAAATTGCTCCACTCAATCCTGGACTTCAAGAGTCAACTAGTAGTGGCCTGTTGTCAGAGCTATTCTAATTCTGCTTCACCGAGTTTAAGATTGGTGGGTTTTGCATGCCAATCAGTAGTTCCCTTCAAGTGCTGCACTGTTACATTAATATGCTGAACTTTTAAAGCAATTGATGTGTGACCAGACTGCTAGACTATTGGCTGTGCTTCATATTGAAGTTCTGTGGAATATTTATTTGTTATACTACAACCTATTCAGGTGCAATTAGTATCCTTATTCCCCTTTGATTGTACAGAAGATAATTCAAAGCTTAATATGCTTATAATGACTTATTGTGGTGACTTGTAGGAACTCTATTCTTTTGGTGCGTTTGCTTGTCAAAAACAAACCATCTGTAACTTGATATTTTTCCACATGCAAAGAGCTCCAATTTCTGCAGTGTAGTCAGATAGATACTAAACCTACATAAAGCACATGCATTGCTTTTGTTCACATTTTATTTTTCCCAAACAAAAGTTTAACTCACATGGAAGAATGGAAATATAGATCATGTAAATCTACCTCACAAAATTCCAGCAACTTTTTAGGTTGTAGATGTTTACTTACTCGTCAGGTAACGAAACCACATACTCATTTATGCCAAATGTGCAAAAAAAAATTACATAAAAAGGATAAAGTTGCTGAAATGGAAGTCAAACATTGTTGACAAAGCTAAAGTTGCTGAAGCGGAAGTCAAGCATCAATCCACTACAAACTACCCCACAGCGTTACAATGGTAAATCTAGAGATAAAGAACCATGTAGAAATAATATGCCATATTAAGATTACAAAAAGTGTTGGATTTTCAAGTAAATCATCCTAAATAATTTTAGGTTCAGTTTAAAACTTGGATAACAATAAAAAAGATCAAATGTGACATCCAAGTATGCATAAGATGGATAGAAGTGAGAAGAACATACAAACAAGCAATATTGTTCCAAGCTTCCCCATTTTCAGGATCAAGTTGAACAGCAGAGGTAAACGCATCCAGCGCCTTTTCAACATCCCTTGCCTGTGTAAGTTTGGACATAAGTTTCAATAACCAAACAAAAACAGAACGCAATAGGCTATACAAGGATTTTTTTCAAATATTGCAAATTCGGATATCAAAGATTCATATATATGGGTGCAAAATCCTGATGAATTGAGAATTTTTCTTTTTTCAGCAAATGAAGAAATAGTATTAAACTGTTTTCGTATTATCATATACAGAACCTTCAAAGCAGCAGCTCCAAGGGCAAACCAACCATCTGGATACAAAGAATTCAGTGCCATGGCTGATGCCCTATGATGAAATAAAGGATCATTGCAGAGACAAACTGTTAATGAACAATCATTGAAGAAGCCAAAGTATATGAAGGGAAGCAACACACACGTGCGTTGTCATGTGTGTGTGTGTGTGTGAGAGAGAGAGAGAGAGAGAGAGAGAGAGAGAATATACCATAGAATTTTAGATTTCTCATAGTCACCCCTATTGTATGCACTACGAGCAAGAGCTCGCTGCCAAGAGAAGACGGGTATCATAACAAAAATGTTAAAAGCGGAAACAAAGTGATATGTTTTTTAATTGGATGTACTGAAAATCACCTTTGCTCGAGCAGACCTATTTCCTGACACTTCTAGTGCTTTCTCGTAGCAAGCATCATTATTTGTAATGTCTCCCAATGAACACCTGAAAATACAACAAATAGAAATGCATATTTAGCTCTTCTATTGAGTCTCATCAGGAAGTGTATGCATTTTTCTCATTGCCTAGCCAATCGGATTGTGATTGGATATTTCTCCTGTCTAGGCTGCGTTAGGTGGGTACTTCTCCTGTCTAGGTCACTATTTGAGAGTTTGTGCCCTTATGGGCTGAATCTACATAGGCACTTGTCTTGAACACTATTGTAAAACATTTTTTTCTTTTTTCCTTCTTTTTTTTTCCAGATAAGCAACAATAAATTTTATTAAAGAAAAAAAAAAAAAAAAAAAAAAATAGATGCAAGAGGAAACAACGGGGACAAGAAATACACCGAGAGAAGAAAGAAGACAAAAAGGCACTAAAAGTATTCAAGAAATCCTCACATTTACAAACAAAGCCCCACAGAAGGATTTCAGATCAAACCTCACTCTCTTAGCAACCCACTCTGAGAAATCCTCACATTTCCAAACGACTCCCTTAACCCCATAGAGTAAATTAATCAACCTCTTCACTTCATAAACTCCTCAACCGAACATTCCAAAATATATCATGTTCCCCAGGTATAGTATACCACTAAGGCTTCTTTAACAGAAGCAAGGAGAAAAATAAAAGAATGTCTCCACACCATGCTGCCAAAACTTCACCCTACCCACCTTGAATCTAGCAAATCTAAAAAAAAAAATTTTTTTTTTGATAAGTCTAGCAAATCTCTAAAAATTATCCCAGATTAGTGGATAACCTTCCCAAACCCCCATATGTGAGTCAACTATAAACTCCCATAGCCCGCATAGAGCATATTAATCAACTTCTCCACTTCCAAATCTTGCACATTCCTCAACACAACATCCCAAAAGAAATCATCACATGCACACCACATATAGTCTGCCTTAAATGCTTCTCTAATAGAAGAAAGGAGAAAACTAATCACCATGCCACCACAACTTCACCCCAGTGTTTTAAAAGGCTCTAGGCACACCGAGGCGATAAGGTCTCCTATAGCCTAGGCACGAGGCGAAGCACGCGCCTCACCAAAGCGAAACTCAAGTAATAGAAGAAAAGCAAAATTATAAAATACGCAAATTTTTTAACATAACAAATATATATATATATATATAATCTAAAAAATCATAACCATTTTCGATAATCTCTAAACATAACATTCAATCTTCTAAAAATGAGAAACCTAGGCACGAGGCGAAGCACGCGCCTCACCAAAGCGAAGCTCAAGTAGTAGAAGAAAAGCAAAATTATAAAATACGCAAATTTTTTAACATAACAAATATATATATATATATATAATCTAAAAAATCATAACCATTTTCGATAATCTCTAAACATAACATTCAATCTTCTAAAAATGAGAAATATAATATCCAACAAACGATATAAAACATAACATTCAATCTTTTATCAGTTTCTACTCTATTTTAACCACATTTGGTCATTTTATATTGAAGAGTTTTGAATCCATGTGGGTATGCCCACAAAAAAAAAGCACTTAATCAATAATTGGAGTAGAAAATAGGTAAAACCCATGAAGCCCACGCCTCGCGCCACGCAAAAAAGCCTCGCCTCAGCACGTAAGTTGCGCCTTGCATATTGCGCCTCACCTCAACCTGTTCGAAGTGCAAGGCTATGCCTCATTGCGCCTCGCACTTAGGCACACACCTAAGCGCGCCTTTTAAAACACTGCTTCACCCTATCTCCCCTCCCACCTTGAATCTAGCAACTCAAGAAATCATCCTAGATTTAACGTATAAGCTTCCAAAGCCCCTCTCATGTGAGTCACCTATAAAGAAATTTAATCACCTCAGGAGTTACCACATTTAGCTGCCACCATCCTCCAATATTTATCCATCACAAGCAAACTTCCATGCCAAAATTTCTAAAATAACTTTGTTCATTGGGATACATATCGAATTGCACTCCAAGTCAATGGAGTGACATCGGCTTGCTGAAGTAATCTAATTCTACTAACCTACTAACATTCTACCGTGTGGCCAAAAAAAAAAAGGATGATACTTTAGGTTACTTTTGGTAAACGTGGTAAACTTTTAGGTAAATTTTTAATTTTTACGACAAAAAAAAAAAAAAAAGGAAAGGTATTTGCTTTTCTTTTCTTTTTTCAAAAAAAATAAATAAATAAATAAGAGAAAAGATGGTTTGTGCCCAAACTTTTGGGGAAAAAATTATTTGGGACCCAAAAATGTGTTACTTTGTTCTTGATGGGGTTGCCAAAGGGGGAGTTTCCAAACAACGGATGGTCGGAAGAGGGGGAGTTATCAGAGCAGGGGTCGTCAGAACAAGTGAAAACATTTTTTTTTTTTTTCAAATTTTCCAAAATTTTGAAAACTGTTTTTCTTTTTCTTTTTTTTTTTTTTGGCAAGAAAAACACTTAATAAATATGTTTCATTTCCTATTTTAAAATATTTTTAAAACAAAAACTATAAAGAAGGAATTAAGCCTTCATTAGACCAAGACTATATAGTGTACAAGGACACAAAATAAGTTGGACGACTAGACAAGGTCCTCTTAATAAGGGGAAAGCCTCCATTGACAAAATAATGTCTCTTCCGTCCTACTAAGCTTGTTTGGTACCCGCTTTACAACCCCATCCCAAACTACTCTGGACTTGAAGGAAGACCACCCCTAAGGCAAGCCAAGATATGTGACGAGAAGGGTACTTGTTTGCACCCAATAAACATAAACTAAGTCTCCAACATTGAGAACTTCCCCCAAAGGGACCAACTCAGACTTAACTAAGTTTACCTTAGGGCCTAAAACAACATCAAAACATAAGAATACACATCAAAGGTAACATAGCTGTGTGGACCTTCCCAATATGATATCAGTGTCATCCAGATACTAAAGAGGAGAAACTCCCTCTATAAAAACCCACTAACAGAGAGCACTCTATCAAAACAAACAACCATGGTGCAGAAAATATATAAAGATCAAGTTGAAAGTGAGTAGATGATTTTAATAGTTATTACCTCTTGCTGAAAAACTAGTTCAGGAGTACATCAATTTTGAGAACATTAACTAATTCATATGAACATGCCCACCATTGTAGCGGAATAAAACAGAATTCTGGAAAAAAAATCACGAAGGAAACAAGCTAAAACATAAAAAGCAAATATCTGGGTAACATACCATAGCCTTGGGTCATTAGGCATTTCAGACAGCCGCATTTTGATGAGGTCCGCACCTGCTGCTTTTTTCTCTAATAGGCTGTTAAAACATATTTTAAATTAAACCGCCAACATAAAGGTAAAATGGAACATATACAAGGACAATTTTCCAAGAAAATGCCCACCATCATACCGGTAGCAATATATTAGATTATCCCACAACTCTAGATCCTCAAAAACTTTAACTGCCTCCCCTATCAAGCCACAACCCACCAAAAGCTCGCCATATTCTCTAGAAGAGAAGCAAAGATAGTTACATACACATGTCAGCTCAGCAGAAAGAACATAAAGTAAATAGAGGAATGTTCAATAAGAATCTAGTTTTCAAAAACTAAAGCATGACATGTACATGGTCCTTTTCCAGACTTATTTATTTTTGTGTGTTTTCCCATTGTGAGAGGAGGTGCTCTGAAAGAAAAGTCATACTTGCGGAGGGCAGGAATTGTAGGGATATAAGCTCCAAAACAATAATAAATCCTTTGTGCAACACCAGGAGAAGATTCATAGACACCTTGGACCTGAAATAATGCAAAATAATTAAATGAGACTCCATGATAATAAATTGTACTAGAAGCAATGAGGACTTAATACAAGAATTAAATTTATATTAGAAGCTATACTGTGCACGGGATAAATTATATGATTCCACTTCATCAACTTGAATTTTCATTTTGTCTACATATTGCAATTGATTTTTTTTCAATATATAATTTATAGTTTTGGATTCATGTTCATAAAGAACCTCACGGAAATTTTTACGTGTTGGTTGTCAGGCTACCCTCCTTTACTTGGGCATGTGACTGGCAGTATAACAGATAAGACAATAAGCACAATATAGGCAGATTAGACACTACTCTTGAAATGGTAGGAGTAGCACATATTAAAGATAAATTAAGAGAGAATAGGTTAAGATGGTTTGGACATGTACAATGAAGAGATATAGATGCAACAGTAAGGAAGAGTGATATGATCACCATAACTGAAGATGCTAGGGAGAGGGGAAGACCAAGGTTGTGTTTGGATCATGGACTTGGCATTTGGTAAGGGATATGGAAAAAGATGGATGAAATGCAGCTATATTTCATTCACATTTCACCCACCTTTTCCATTTCCATTTTCAAATCTCTACCCAAATCCATGATCCAAACACAGCTTTAAGTTGACATGAGATGCAATAATGATAAAATATATGAATTTATTTAATTAGAAAATTTAGTCAAAACCCTTCCATTGGACCCTTGTTTGGTGAAAAGGACAGCCTAATTTATTTTGTTTCATAAACCCCCTAAGGAGGAAACGCATTATTGAGTAAGGACAACGTAAAATATCCCTTTTTTTTTCTTGGACAATATTGTCAGAGTACCATATTACTGTGAACTAGAGTAACATATTACTGTTTACATCAATTTCGACGGTTATAAAAAAAAAAATTTATTAAAGAATTTCACAGTCAACATGGATCTTATTTGATAGATCTTGATGAGAGGATTCTAAAAATACTAATTTTATTAAAAACCGACATCTAGATCAAAAATTATATTATTTTAATGCTTAACATTTCGGTAATAGTGGTATGTGTTGAACTTTTCAAAGAAAACTTTTTGTGCTTGCCCTTAATGCATTAAAGTTTTGAGAAAATATCATTTCGCCCCCCAAACTTTCATGCATTTTTCAATTTGGCCTTCAAATTTCGATTAATATCAATTTTACATCCAAATTTTCCAAATTTTGATCAATTTGGCCCCTGCCATCACATCCCGTCTACAATTGGACGGAATGTGCTGATGTAGGGGGCAAATTGATTTTTAAGGTATAGTTTGGGGGATAAAATGAAATTTTAAATGAACTTTGGTGTCATGTCAGCACATTCCGTCTAATTGTAGACAGAATGTGACGGCAGGAGCCAAATTGATCAAAATTTCGAAAGTTTGGGTATAAAATAGATATTAATCAAAATCTGGGGATCAAATTGAAAAACGTGTGAAAGTTTGGAAGACAAAATGATATTTCCTCTAAAGTTTTATTATAAGAGGGCTTTGACCAAATCCCTCTATTTAATTTAGCTGAGTATATGGCCCTCTATGGAGCTGAATAGAGAAAAAAAGATTGATTTAACTTTTTTTTCCTAAGCAAAAGAACTATTACGAATACAACTTGATTGTGCAACGAAGGGATTCAAACACATATTAGTACAAAAAGTGGTTGTCAATAAAACTGATATGACACCAGGTTGCTTTACGATGAAGAACATTTTGTCAAGTAAACCAGTGGTACACAATGCCCGCTATCAATGTTTTAAAAACCGGACCGGTGAACGAACCGGAAAAAAGGATCGGGTGAACGGGTCACCGGTTCAACCGTCGGGTTGAACCGGAATTGAACCGTGACGTAATAAATATATTAAAATTATATTTAAATAAAAATATAAGTAATAAAATTAAAAATTAAAAATATTAAATTATCTTAAATATTTGTCTTAATATTTTTTTTACTGAAAAATATAATAATATATTTTAAAAGAAATATATTAATTTCAATTTTGGAAGATGAAATCAAATATTTATATATTCCCTCCATATGATTTTAATTCAAATAATTTGATTAAAGGAGAGCAAAAATTTTGGAGGGATATCAAAATTTCAATATTCCCTCCAATACATTTGATTGAATCCCACATGGATTTCTTGAGTCTTTTTGAAAGAAATTTTTTTCTTATAATATGGTGAACTTTCACAATATTTCATCAAAACTCTTAATGGGATTCCTCACAAGAGGAGGCACCTTAAAAAAAGTTTCAAATTAAATATATTCTTATATTTTATATTTTTATACCTAATATATATATATATATATAAAATAAGAAAGAAAGAAAGAAAAGAAAGAAAAAAAAAAAAAGGAGCCGGACCGATTCGATCAACCCGTGACCGGGTCAACCGGTTCGCCGGTTTAACCGGTGGGTTCACCAGTTTTCAATAAATAGTCCGGTTTTTGCAATTGGCCGGTTTAAGAGGGCTAACCGGACCGGAACCCCATCCGGTCACCGGTTCAACCGGTTGAACCGGCCGGTCCGGTCTAGGTTTCAAAACCTTGCCCGCTATGATGTGGAATGCAATGAAGTTCCTAGGGTCTGAACCATATGGCAAAGTATGTGATGCTATTGAGCCTAAGTCTACCTCTGATATCTCCACTCGAAAGAGGCAGTGTATGAATTTCCTGGCCATAATGAGGGCGAATATGTCAATGAGGGGGTGAATTGTTTTCAAAATCCAAAGGCGTTTTTTTTTTCCCAGCACCTGCTCCAGAATCAGAAGATGAGGAAAACGAGTTAAATGGCGTCGGTGTTCAACCTAGTTTACACAGGTAATCCTAATTCCAATTTGTCTGAGTGCCCAGATGCTTAATTCTTTGACAGGTTGTTGCAATTTGAATGTGCTAAACGGGGAATCCTCAGATAGCAAGGCATATGGCTAGAATATTTTGAGAAATTGGCAAAGAATGAAAATGAAAATTGGCTGCATGAACTAAAGAATTTTGTTTCTTTTCCGCTTGATGAGAATGGGATGAGTCAATTAAAATAATTCCTCCATAATCTGGGATTGACTTTTGTAAGGAAAGACAGCGATGGAACTTGGAAGGCAATCTGTGAGGAGGGATTAAAACAAAAAAGAAAAATGGAACGAAAGGAGAGGAAAGCTATAGGAGGAATATAAGCTAAGACACACATGTACATATATGGATACATGCACAGATATGCTACGTGGATTTCCAAAAAAATAAGACAGACACAACAGGGCAATGTCAAAAACATATTATTTATATAGTTTATTTGATATGTATATGAATATTACACCGACAACCAATAAAAAATAATAAATTAAAAAAAACAACTTCAACATGAAAAAAAAAATACTCAAGCTATAAACAAAAAATCATTCAACATACAAAATGCTATGTCAATCAAAAACCAATACATCACAAATGTCAAAGCATTTAATTTAACAATGAATAGATCATCCATCAAAAATAAATAATCACAAAAAACAAGTTCTCAGCATGTAAGTCTAAAACTAGCGCCCGTTTGGGAAATGACATTTTTAGTGGCTTTTTGGCTAAAATATGAGGTTAAAATAACTAAAATGTTTGGGAATGGATTTTTGGCTTTTTACGGAAAAAAAATGCAGAAAGTAGAGAGAATAGGAAGGAATCTTTGACTTTTTTGTATGACTTTTTGACTTTTTTAGTGGCTTTTGGCTTTTTAAACACAATCTAAAGTAAACATTAGAAGATTATGGTAATTGGCTTTACATCTTCGCTATGAATTGGGTCTAATTGTTTTCGATAAAGTAATTCAAGTTCTAATGACAGAAATCTTCATGTATAAGCTATGAAGCACGGATACTTCTATAAGCTAGGTTTCCCATCTCATTGCAAGGCTAATATGCTTTTTCCATTTAGATTAAACATAAAAATAAAAATCAAGGAAGTGTTCCATTTTGATTTATCACTGAAAATGTTTTAACAAATGTAGATGAAAAATACTGAGATGGCTCAATATTTGTAATAGAAAGCACAAAGTACATCTACTTGTTGATAAATTCATCCCAACCAAAAATCAAAAATACACATCTCTCTATTTGATGCTGGAATGAAGGCTGAAGCTTAATTCAGATTAATATAGACAATCTAAATATCTAATCCAAAATTAAGGCATTTCCACTCCTCTTTAGTAAAATGCTGGCATTATATATTAATTCAAACACCAAAGGCTGCCAAACCTAAGCAACAAGAATCACATACATTATTTAAAATCAATTGCAATAGTAGAGAACATTTAACAATGTACATATATATCAGAATAGCTGCTTAGATAAGGGGGGGAAAAACATAATCTAAAAGAAAATATGCATTATCAACCATTGAGTAAAAGAAAACATATTTTTTCCCAAATCTGCTAACCAGTAACAAAAATGTACTCAATACCAGTTTATCCATCATCAGCAAAGCACGCTCCTTTGTGCGACTACGAGTTGACTCCCATCGGATGCGTAAGATGTCACAAAAACAATGAATCTGAAAAGGGATAATGTCATAACCATACCATGCAGGGGGGGAAATTTAAAATAATAAAAAAATAAAAAATAAAAAAAGCAAAAGAAAGAAGAAAAAGAAAAAGAAAAAGAAAAAGCAGTATCTACTGGAAGTATAAAGCAACCATCTTCTTTATAATAACAAAAAACATGCACACACATGACAAAGAGAGACAGATGAAAGAGAAAAAGGAAAGAAAAAGTATTGCTATCTTCTGTTGATCACAAAGGATTGTTAGCCCCTCAATAGTCAGCATAAAACAAATTTTGGGGCCAATATAACGAACACATTCCTACACTAATTCTTTATATCCGACAGCTTAATGATCTAGCAAACAGTACCTAGAAAGAGAAAAGCTTTAAGTATTGTCACAAATGCAGAACTCCAATGAGTCACGTAAATTTGAAAGAAGAATCACCCAAATCCCAATATAAGATCAGCTACTAAAGCTCCACCATAACTAGATGGACTATATATTGATTTATCACAATTAAGTATTTTACACTGAAAATATAGATTAAATGTAATTACAGACAGTTTCTAAGCCCTATGCTTAAAATGAAATAACATTTCAAACTGGCATTCAATTTTAAAGTTGCCTTCATGATGAAAAAAAGTTGTCAAAGAAATATAGAATGCAACCTGCTAGCATCACGATGTAGTTGGTAACTCAGTCAACTTACAATGAAGTATGACGACAGCTGGGAATCAACTGCTTCTATGTACGGTGCCATCTCCCACCCTAAAACATGAAAGTGGCTTTAGAGAACCTAACAATTTTAAACAAAACCTTTCATTATATTTTTAGATATTATAAACAGAGTTATTCATAAGCGTATATTAAACATTTTTTTCTTATCAGCCACAAATAAATTGTATTAGAGAACGTGTCGGAGGGCCACACCCCTTATACAACTAAGAAAAAGAAATGAAATGAAAGTATAAAGAAATCAAGAAAACAAATAAAAAGATAAACCCCACCCCTCAACCAACCCAAAAATGAAACCACTCCCAACTACTGAAGTGCTAGTGGGTTTGCATCCCTCTCTCTCTCTCTCTCTGTGATGGGTAGGGGTGCTCAAAATGACCAGTGGTACGGGTAAACCGACCCAGACTGGTTTTTTTAAACGGAACAGTTAAGTTCCAGTTCCAAATAATTAAGAACCGTTGATTACAGTTCAGTTTATAGATTAATGCTAAAAAGAACCACAGTGAACCGAACCATTCCATTCCTATTTTTAATTAATTTTAATGGGTAGAATATATATGTTTATGTATTTTAAATTAATTAGTTTCTCTATGTATAAAGATCTATGTGATTATGTTCAGTATTTTTTCACTATATTGACATTATTATTACACTTCTTATATTAGTGAAAATTGCATTTCTATATTAATTAGTATTAATTTGAATAATTTATTTTCTTGTCTTTATACATTTTTAAAAACTTAGTATGGAGAATATGCTTAAATAAAAGTATATAGGTCTACTCAATTTTGATTGAATTGGATAATCCAAATATAATGTCAAATTTTCTAGCCTAGAACCATGGGACAGAATAAGAAACAAACCAATTTTTGCAATTTGGTCTGGTTCGGTTCCAGAAGTTCCATGGTTTGGTTTGATTTGGTTCATAAATTTCTGGACCTGTAAGGATTGGTTTGGTTCTTGGTTCACCTCAGAAGCGGACCAAACCAGCCTGTGAACATCCGATTGGACATTAAGTTAGTGGTGGAGACTGATGGTTGCGGTTGCGGTTGCGGTTGCGGTTGCGGTGGGTGTCTGGTGTATGGGTGGCAACAAAGGGAGCGAGTGGCGGCTAAGGATGGAGGATGGGGATCAGGGAGGGAGGGGGTGGCAGCTGGGGGTGAAGGTGGTCAATAGGTGGCAGTTGATGGTGGTAAGGGTTAGGGGAGAATGACTATGGTAGAGAGAGGGGTTTGGGTGAGGGACCAAGAAGATGATAATGGGGTAATTTTTCCTTTGATATTGGAGGGTAATTAGGTAATTTGCTTTTTCTATTAACATTGTTAAAAGACAAACTTTAACGAGGGTATTTGTTATTTCTCAAATCAGATGAGAGAATCTGTATTTTTCATATACCTCAAGTGGTGTTTTCGTAATTTGCAAATTTTTAGCACCCTTGTTTGTTTATCCAAATGAAGTTTCTTCAGCCCATATAATGTCAAATTGCCTTTGATTTATAGCGCTTTGGTCTCCCTTCCTTCCATCAAATATATTTCCTTTCAGCTTAACAGCATCAAAAGGGCCTCTAATTTTGGCAAGTCACATTCTTTTTTGAGCCCATATTTGTTCTTCAAAATAATTCAGTTCAACCTAAATGCTATTTTTGAATATATTCAGGACACTTGTCCCAATTACTTTAGTGGTTAGTGATATCTTATGATGGACATGGTGTCAACATATTTCCTACATTACTGCATAATCAGTTTAATAAGGTTATTGCATAAGTTCCAGGACTTGTACATAAAATTTTAGTGTGCTAGCAAAATGGCAAGGACACATTGAATAATTAAGTGTCTAAAAGTTATACTCCATTTGCAAGTTGAGTAATACACACGTAAGACTAAACCACTCACCAAACTAAGAAATTTTATTTCATTGTCACTAACTTTTGCGCCATTCATCTCTCTACAGGTACGTTCATTGCCATTCCCCAAGGTTAGCATGCCACAAAAAGAGCAGTTATTTTATTAGAGTCATCTATATTGTTTATGTAAAAATAAATTGATAGAGAGAGAATAAATTGTATGTATTATTGATTGTTGTATCTTGATGTATTACAAGATTGATAAATTACAATTCCTATACAATCTATATATAGAAGAAAATGTGGTAGTAGGTGTAGTGGAGGTGATAGTGGGTTAGGTGAAGTGGAGTGTGTGGTGAAGTGGAGGTTAGGTGAAGTGGAGTGTGTGGTGAAGTGGAGGTAGGTGAAGTGGAGTGTGTAGTGGAGTAGGTGAAGGTAAAGATGAGAAATTCTAACAGGTTCAAATTGTTATGCAATATCTACAAAGAATTTTAGGATTAAAATTGAGATAGAAGTTCCTACCGCAAAAACAAGCACTTACCCTTTGTCAAGAAAAATGGTAATATTTTCTATAAAGCACAAAATAGTAAAAGAAGTTTGTGCATGTGTACTAGAAGTTAATGCAACCCTTTAAATGTTACCCTTTAAATGTTACCAAAAACCCTATATTACAGATTAGGAGTGTGAGGAAAAAATGTTTACTACGCATCTCAATCGTTACTATATTATCACTTACTCATCATGCATTAACTAACAGCAATAAAACACATGAACACAAGCATGAGTTAACTTAAAAGGTCAGACAGATTACTTTGCATTTCATCATGTGGAGTGCTCTTCTCTATAGAAAGGCAGAATGCCAAAGCAACTGCTTGTTGGATTGCCTTCAAAGGGGCAGTGCCACTGCCACCACTTCCTGTCCCTTGTGCACTATTTTCAGAACCTTTATCATCCTCTATGAATCTTGGAGCCATCAATACATCAGAAGCTTCACAGGTTTCACGAGGATGACGTAGAAACTTATCTCCATCAATGCTAGAAGCATTTTTGTGGAGCTCTGGGCTTAGTGAATACAACTCGACAGCATCATTTAATGTACTTGGGTTTGCAACAAGTAAACGTTGTGCCTTTGGTTCAATCTATACCCAGAAATGATCCTCAAAGCCAAAACCAGGAATCATGTTAAAGAATTTCCAGATCATACATACAAAATACATACCTGATGCACAGTGCGAATGCCCAGAGCACCAGTTACAGAAAGTTGAAGCCCTGATGCCACTTCAGCTGACTCAAAATGCATCCTGATATCAGGAAGGTATCTCAGCAAACAAGAGAGATAATCTGGGAGATTCCAGAAAGAAAAAACAAAAACAAATTATTTCTAACACTCAAAAGTACAGACAGCAACATACATGAGCAGTAAATGTGTGAGGCTGGCCATTATAAACAGTGCATTATTGAGATGATAAATTTCTAATCAACGAATCAAGCTTCATTTTACAGTGGACCAAAAACAAACTGAAATACAATAATTTGCTAGTTTAAAATTAGATGGCTCTTTTACTAGTTTGAAGCCTCCTCTAGGGGTGTACGCAACGAGGGTTCAAGCCAAGCAAGGATGTCCTGGGTAGATGCATGGTTGACCAAGCAAGGACGTCCTGTGTAGATGACACATGGAACATGAGTCGCGTGGCTATGTTTATTTTTAACTAGGACATGCCCTTAGTGGTTCTCCTCTTGGCCTAGTCCTTGTGCGCTTTTTGGGTAGTTAGTTTCATGAGCTTCATAGTATATTCTTCTTTTTTTGGTAATAAAATCTTTCTTACAATCCTACACAACAATAAAAAAATAAAAAATAAAAGATAGGGATGTAATAACTATCTCCACATCAGATACTATACATATTTTCCTCATATTCCAAGTGCATTCATTCAGAGCTCTTTTCTCCAACAAATATGGTACTCTCAAGTTAAGTTCAAGTTGAAATGAAGATCAATCAAATCATTGCCCAAACACACACCAAAAGATCACAAAGTTATACAACGAAAGATCTTTCTAACTTTCAAACTTCCAGCTATGTTTATTTTATTCGGAAGGCAAATGTTTGTTTGGACTTTAATCTCTCTATATCCATTACATGAGTGTTAATCTTAAGCTACATGCATAACCTTCAAGCCCCAAAATCCAACTAAAGGCGTGAAAATACAAGAAACCTAGTGCCAATTACAAGACTTGCGTTGAATCTCGCCCATGTACTCTCTATTTACATGTGAAAATGAGCTACCTGTGAAGTAAAATTTATAAAATTATAATCGACTACATACTCAATTACATGTGACATCCACTGGCTATGAAAGCAAGTGAAAACTTTATTATTGATTACTTATCCATAAATTGACTATAAAAATTATATAATATCATATAAGTTTTATTGTAAGGGTTCACTAATATGAATCAATCATGATATATATTTGCTAAAGAATAATTATTGTCAACTAAACATCAAGGATTAAATCCCATTAACTATAAAAAATATATAAAGAGAGCAAGAGAGAGAAAACAGATGCTTCTCTGACTACATCAGAGTGCATGAAAGTGGAAATGAAAATAAAATATGTAATAGGAATGCGTGGAAGAAATGCTAATGCATCAGGAATACAAAAGTAACACAAATTTTTGAATCTAACACTATTATGAGGAACTCCGAGCAATATGGCCCACATAGACTCCCCTCAAACAGAACCTTCCCCATAATAACTCACCTAGACTTATCAGCTCGCCCATAGGTATGTTCCATTATTCCTGCTTCCAAATGAAGCATTGACAAAATAGCTGAAGCTTCTTCCTCATGTAATTTAGAACCCCAGTAACTTGTTACTTTTTCCAAAGTACCAAAACATTGTAAAGTTTCACATGTATAGACTTGCAATAGATCAAACAAAGAAGACGACCGCTCATCCAATATTCTTTGTTGAAGAAGTAAGAGCCTAGCCAGCCACCACGAAATGCTTCTAGTTCCATCTGTGACAGAGACTTTTCCTTCTGAAAACAAATCTTTCATCCTCATAAGCAAGATCTTGGCAAAAACTATATACTGCAATAAACCAAACCAAACCAAAACTTAATAAATAAATAAAAAGGACATAACATGAAATTAATCATTAAAGAAAGAGACAAGATTATGTTTGAAATTGTCCTGGGGGGTGAATAGGGCAATTCTACTCCGGCTTTTGGTCCTTAACCTCAAATTCTCCTTGTTAATTGCTTTAGTTAATTGTCATGAATTGGTCAGGTTATAACTTTAACATCCCACTACCAATCCTTTAAGTATGGTGACGTTTAATTTCTTCTTTTAATGTCAATCACCAAGTGTCATATTCAAGACTCATTTTTTCAAGTGTTAATCTCATATAAAACATTGATTCATTCAATCAAGATTAACACATTTAATCAGACACATTCATCTAATATAGTCTAATTGTTTATATGTTTAAAATTGAAGTCAGCAAACTGCTTAATCCAGTGAAGTTAGCCTGATTAATTAGAGAGACCAAAACAGGGAGAAAAGAAGTCCAATAATTTTCAAACTGCTAAAGTTCAACATAACTTGTTAGATTTCTTAAATGGCTTTAATGACTGCCTTGAGTTGATTCATTAAACCACATGCCTTTGAGAATCTTACATTATGACTACATTACAGACCCATGAAAATCTAAAAGAAAATTTACGAATTTACTTGGTACCTTTTCTATTTTGTACATGTTTATTGGTTCATAGATTCAATTTAGGTAGACCAACCCACGGTTGTTAGATTCTTACAATTCTTGATCGAATCATTCGACACAATACAAGTTTGAACCAAAACAATTCGATTTGTGCTGTTGAATCTTAAATTGAGTGAATAATACAATTCAATTGCAATTCAATTACGTTTGCATAATGCACGAAATGGTGTTGTTTTTGCAAAATATATTTTAAAAGGAGATCAATAATTGATATTTATTTCATTTCACCAAGAGACAAGCATAAACAAGTGAGCAAGGAGAGAGTAGATTTAAGGGTCTATCCCGCGATAGTTTTGTGTAAACTGTAACGTAAATGACAAACAATTGTGAGTTTTAATATAACTTCGATTTCTTTGTACCATTGTGATTTATACAGCAAAGAAAAAAACCAAATGTAGTGTATTCAAGAAAAATGAACAGACACAAGTGCCAATTCATGTCATGAACATTATGCTCATCAGTAATAACAACATTGACAATAGCAACTAACAACATTGGCAACAACAACAACAATGAGAACAGTAAAAGCGATCATACTAATTGAATTACCTGCAAATTAGAAAATTTCCCAAGCAAATCAGACCCAGCAGCCATCAACTGATTTCGTGCCCACCCTTCCCATTCTGCCCCCCCTACACCACCACCACCACCACCATCTTCAAATCCCATCAGAGGCAACAAAGGCAACTTCTCAAAAGGTCTAAAACAACCCCCCCAAAAAAAACAAAAACCCAATTAATAAAAAATCAATAGCATATACAGAGTCAATTTGATATATGAATTGAGACTGACCCAGTAATGTTGCACTGAGTGAATGCAAGAAAAGCTGCAACAGCAATGGCAATCAACAAAAATGCCTTATAGGACTTGTCTATGTCGTCTTCGGACTCGTCGAACAAGAACAATTCGAAATTTTTGAGGACCAGCTGAGAATAAAACTGGTCGGGACAATCCAACAAGGGGGAGGAGGACCAGTCTTGGAATTTGAAGATGGTTCGAGTAGCGTCGGAGGATAGGGCTCGGAGATAATCTCCTGTTTCGATTGAAGTAACAACGTTTTCGATGAGTGAATGGAGTTGTCGCGCGTTGTCGGTGTTGGAATCGTGGGATTGTTCGTATGAGGTTGGGAATGGAAGAGGTAGAGAGCAGCGAAAGAGACGGAGTTCGAACAAGCGAAGGGAGTCGAATTGTGCTTCTTCAGCAGCCATGGATGGTTGTGGATTGTGATGGAGCTGGAAGTACCAAACACCTTAAACCCCAAACCCTAAGCCTCCGTTCCGTTTGGATATAGGGATTTGGTGGGAAAATAATAGAAAATGGTGTGAATAGGATGGTAAGTACTAGTAATTCTATATCCACGCACCATTTAGGTCTAGTTTGGGAAGACTAAATAAGTGTACTTTTTGACTTTTTATGAAATATGGGTTGGGTTTGGGTTGGGTTTGAAGTGATGTGTTAGAGAGGTGATGTGACTTAAATAAGATGATGTGACTTAAATAGGATAATGACTTTTTGACTTTTTGTCTTTTTTCAATCATGCCAAACTTGGCCTTACTCTGTGTCTGGATCATCCGCCGCACATTACTACAGTACTCCCAGCGGCCCTATCAAAACGACATCGTTTTTTTTTTTCTTTTTTTTTTCCCTTCAAATTTACACTTTTCCCCATTTTTTCAGTTTCATCTCTTACTCTTTCATCTGTGTTTAGCCCTTGCACAGAAACGAACAGACAGACGCGAGACAAAGAGAGAGAGCGGCAGAGAGACGGAGGAATACAACGGAGAGAGAAACGAACTGAGAGAGATGAGGGAGGGGCGCGACGAGGTCCATTTCATCATCATTTTATGTACAAGTGAATGAACATATATATATATACATTCATATCTGTGAGTGTGAATGTGGAAAAATGGAGGGTTGAAGAATTGACCATTCGCGGCAAAATTTCATAGTACTCATTTTGAAAATTTGAGATTGAGAGAAAGATATGGAGACTTCGGTTCTCTTCTCTGTCTTTGTTCAAACCTCACTTGCTTTGCTTGTGCTTTTTCTTCTCTCTCTCTTTCTATTGGCGGTTCTTCTAGAGGGGGTATGAAAGTGCTTTTCTAGACCTTTTTTTTTTTATTGAAATTTCTGTTTTGCATTTTGGAAGCATTTCTTGTGATTTGTATTACATTTTGTGTTACAAATCAACTGTTTGATAAATGTCTTGAGAGATAATCTTGATATTTCGCGGCAAAATTTCATAGTACTCATTTTGAAAATTTGAGATTGAGAGAAAGATATGGAGACTTGGGTTCTCTTCTCTGTCTTTGTTCAAACCTCACTTGCTTTGCTTGTGCTTTTTCTTCCCTCTCTCTTTCTAATGGCGGTTCTTCTAGAGGGGGTATGAAAGTGCTTTTCTAGACCTTTTTTTTTTATTGAAATTTCTGTTTTGCATTTTGGAAGCATTTCTTGTGATTTGTATTACATTTTGTGTTACAAATCAACTGTTTGATAAATGTCTTGAGAGATAATCTTGATATACAATGATCTTGAAGAATTTTTGTTGCAAACTAAAATTTTTCTTTCTGACTTAATTGGTTTTCAATAAACAGATTATTAAATTGATCCTTGTTAGCTTCATTTATATTTTTTATTTGTCAAGTTATTAGTCTAAGCACTTGTGATATAACTGAAGGTTTAAAGACAAGTCAACAATTTAGGTGGGGGGTTTGGGCAGATGCTATCAACTTGTGACCAGTTGCAAGAAGAAGATGATGTTTGATGCTTTAAACTATTAGATTGGCTACTGATTGATGGATGATAATTCAACTGAGCTAATTAGTTTTTGGTTTGTTAGGATCAATGTTTAGGTGGTGTTGTTTAGTCTGTTTTTTTGTTGTATATGGTAATTGATATGTTCATACATTCGGATTGAACATCAATCTGTTACAATTTTGTTTGGTTATTCATGAAGATATAACTTAATTGATTTGTGAGTTTAATATTTCCAGTTTCTTCATTTTCATCTTCCTGGGAATTGATTTTGATTGTGTTTGGATTATAAATTCAAATTTGAATTTAAGTAAGAAGTTCAATTTTCAATTAAAGAAAGAAAAAGAAAAAAAGCTATTTCTCCATATGAAATGGCTATTGAAAACAGATTCAATCACAATGTTGTGAGGAACACATATGAATCAAAACACAACTATATTAGTATACTCGTTTGCCACTGGGCTACCAATGTTATCAAGTATTTAGTCTAACCAAGAAAGTAAATGATAGCAAGTATCGACCTATATAAAATTTCTTGATCTTTCAAATTGAAACAAAATAAAATTTTAAGTTAAAAACAAGTACACGAGACCCCATACAAATACAAAGAAAGAAAGATATAAGGTTGTTTTGTACAAATAAAAACTACATGAAACCCAATACAAATACAAGCACCCCAAAAAGTGATCTCAGGTGTCAACTTCATCTCCTTTGAATGCAGTATCTTCATTTTTTTTTTTGGCCTACCGGTGTTGTGTCTTGGTTTCTTTCTCCGATTAGTGCTATTCCTTGAAGCCTCAAAAACATCTGTGCTCTTCCAAGGTTGCTCAAACTAGTCTGCTCCTCCGAGGCTATAATATCAAGAAGTATATAATGATAAGCATGTATTTCAAACATAATATCAGTGAAAAATACATTCTTGAAACATGTGATTAGTTAATCGTGAGGAAATTTTGGTTTACCAATAATTTTTTTTTCCAGGAACTACTTACCTTCAGTGTTTGTAGCCAAATTGATTCACTAATTTATGCTTCTGCACTTTGAATTTTGTTATATTAGTTTCTTTTGGCAGAGTTGTAGCTCAAAGAAATGATTTTGTTGGTTAATTGATTTTTCATGGAGCTTCCAATCCCCTGTTAAAGAAACTAGTCATGAAATGAAAAATTGATTTTGTATGAAATGATTGAACTACACTTTTCTGAACTCACGTAAGGGTTTGAAAATACAAAGCTTGAGGAAACGTGTTAAACAAATTAGCATGTCTCTCAAAATAAACACAGTTTCTTTCATCTTTCAGGCCCTCTATATGGCAATATGAAGGGAAACATAGCACAGTTTGAAGTTAAAGAACACTTCAAACATAGCAATATGGCAATATGGCAATATGAAGGCAAACATAGCACACTTCAAACACTTACATATAGGGCAGTTCGTTGAAGTTAAAATATCCATTTCAAAACTAGACTTTTCCAACCTAGCATAATGAGTTGATGTCAAATAAACATGAAAGGTGTGGAGCATGAATGACTTCTTAAATATGCAGTATCTAAAGGATCGTGTATGCTTGTATGGCATACTTAATGTAAATGTATGAAAAGTGGATTTCATGACTAGTGAAATGATTGAACTACTTACCTTTGATTTTTCATGGAGCTTGCAAGTCAGAAGTAAAGAAAACAAAAGAACAAAAAAGGAACTAAGACAAATGTTAAAGGAACTGTAGGAGAGGGTTCGAGAAAGGAGTTGGAAAATTCGAAGATCTTCGAAGATCCTTGAAGAACAACTTCGAATTCTCTAGAATATGATGAGAGGCTTAGATTCTTCAATAGTCTCAACTTAGGAACACAACAACAAAGGAGATGATGGAGATAAGAGATTGGGTGAAGAAGAAGGCAAAATGGCTAGAGAATAGAATAATGGCAAGGCTCTCCCATTGATCTCCCACTTTCACTCTCAAGGTTGATAATGGAGAAGGGAAATTAGTTCTTTCCCAAGAGTTAAAAAATCTCCAAAATCCCTCCCTTGTAAAGCTATGGGTGGGTGCTATTTATAGGCACCTCATGATGTAGGATGGAGCCCATGTGCAAGGCACATGGGGGATATTCTCTCTAACCACCAGTGCCTCGGATCTCGAGGCTTGCTTAATACCCTTTCGAGTCCGGGCCCGAGTAAGTCTCTAGGTTCGTGGATCCGAACCCTTTCGAGTCTGAGTGCCTCGGATCTCTAGGCGTTCTTAATACCCGTTCGAGTCCAGGCTTGAGTAAGTCTTTAGGTTTGTGGATCCGAACCCTTTCGAGGCTTAGAGCGATTCAACCCGTTTGATGGCGATAAGTCTGGGCCCACCGATTCTTGGACTTGCGATAAATTCGGGCTCACTAATCTTGGGCTATTGGGCCTAAATAATTTAGTGGGCTTAAATTAGCTCCTCTTACAGGAACTAACACAAATTTTAAAAGTTCCTACACAAATTTTAATTGAAACTGTATTATACCCCAAAGTATCAAGTGAGCCTTCTAAACATTTCGAGTTTAGAAGGGATTTTGAGTTTCCAAAGGTGCGACCTCTAATCATATCATAGGCCATTGAAGTAGAGAACTCACCATCAAGTGAGCCTTTCCAACAAGGAATAGAAGTAGCAAAATCCTAAGGATCAAGATTGTTGATTTGAATTCATCATTACCTGAGTTCGAATTTAAATTTTAGTTGATTTAAAATAATGAAGTTATAATAATTTTGGATGAGTTAATACACTTTTTAATATAGAGTCTCACTCCATAATTTTTGAACCAATGTTTTGTTCAACCAATTCATTTTTATCATTACCTACATCAAATTATCAACAAATCATGGTTCTCAAATTATTTGAAAATCATATTTCTCACTCCCCATATGAAGACATTTAAGATTTTTTTTTTCTTCAGTGATAGTAATCAATGGTATGATAGTTATTGTAATCTCTCAAGATATTTATTAAACAGTTGGTTTGCAACAAAAAGAGAAGTTGGGAAATTAGAATAGAATTAACAATAGAACTAGATAAAAGCAACAAAACTTTGAGGATCATTCTTGCTCATAATTGATTGATGATCAAAACTCCTCCTTCTTTTTTTTTGTTTTTTTTGTTTTGGAGTGAATCAAAATAGAACCTATTTAAAAAATAAATAAAAATCATAACAAAACCCAATTTTTTTTAGAAAATCATAACTAAAATTGTTATCAACCTCCATTGTAAATGAAATCCCATTCTTTTTAAAAAGGAAATCAAACAAAAATGTGAGGAGTGGAGTGAAGTGAATGAATCAAAAAAAATATATCAAGCCTGGGAATGAATATTGGAATGAATCAAAACAAAAAAACAAACTTACCAGTGAAGAATCCAATCGAAAATGGTGGCGGCGGCGGCGGCTTGATTAGTTTGCTTGTTTCCTGGTGCTGTGTCCTTCTCTTCGATCGTCTATAGAGGATTGGAGATTTAGGGATCTTGGAGTTGGAGTTGGATTTGGAGCCAGATATGTGAGTGTGGGGTAAGAATCGCTGCCGATCTCACTTCGCCTCGCCGCCATCGTCCTCCTCAAACGTTTCTCTGTTCTTGCTCTTGGGTGGGTTCAATCTTCTTGTTCATCTTTGGAGCTTCAAAAAACCCAAGAAATCAAGCACATGAGAAATCAAACCCAGATCGCCTCTCTCTTTCAGAGGCTAGGGTTCAAAACAAAAAGGGGGAAAGCAAAATAAGAAAGGCAAAAAAAAAAAAAAACTTATCCAAAACGACGTCATTTTGGAGGGCAGCAGGGACTGCTGCAGGATAGTGCAGCCGAGGATCCGAACTCTTTACTTTATGCGTACATAGTTAATGAATTAAATTTTTATTATAATTTTACTATTAAACAAAATGACCACTATAGATATCAATACATAAAAAATATTAAAACTAAATTTTTTCTGTACACATCTTTTGGGGGGAAAAAAAAAATCACGCTAAGGCCTACATTGTTTTTCACTCTCACCATTGTTACACTCTATTTTACTCTCATCATTTTTTATTTGTGTGATGAAAGATTTACAAAATCATAAAAGTTTAAATTTAGAGAAGAATACGATTTTACAACTAATGTAACGATGAAAATGTGATCTTTTACGTGTGGAAGTAGTTTTTTTTTTTTTTTTTTAGCAAAAGAGCTGCTCTTCTTTTGTAAATTCAACTTCCATAGGATTGCAAAAAAAAATCAATGATGAAAACTTTTCATATGATTTGTTTTAAGATTTTTTTGATCGCGATGAAAACTTACTTTCATCACTTATTATGAATCCAAAAAAAAAAAAAGAAAAAAAAGTATTCATCAACTTACATCAATCTTTTCATTATTTCATTGCTGATTGGCTCTAAAGAACTATTGAAAATATGTTGGTGGGTTGTTGGACATGGAGTTTTTTTTTAATATTTAAAAAAAAAACAATTTAGAGAATTGACCTACTTTTCAAACTATTTGGAAAACTAACTTAATTTTTGAAATTGCATTTTGAAAATGTAATTTTAAATTGAAATCGCATTTTCAACATACAATTTCAAAAAATAGGTTTCTCAAATAGTTTGAAAAGTGGATCAATTCTCTAAATTGTTTTTTTTTAAGAATATTTTTTAAAAAATCTTGGATATGCCGTTACTATTGTGATGTGTGTAAATGTGTTTTGTGTGGTGTGTGTTTAAATTATGAGCAATGGATATATTTAGAACATTTGATGTGTGGAATGAGAAAAACATATTGTAACTAAATTAATAAGTGTGTGAACTAAGAAATGATGTGCACAAAGTACACATGGTGTATAGAAATAGAATTACCCGATAAGTATGGGAAAATTCTATTTCCACCCCTCTAATTAGTTTAATACACACACTTAATGAAATATTAATTTAATGATAATTATATTCTAAATAAAATTTATTATAATAGATATCCAGCAGCACCTATAATATTATATGAAAAAAAATTTTGTACACATCTTTTAAGAACAAGAAAATCTCAACATACACCTTTTGAGTTAAAAAAATTAAGCCCTAATTTTTTATTATTGTCACTTTACTTGTTATACACTCTATATTCCTCTATTGTTTGCAAAGCAATACTCTCAAAACATCTATCATATTAATTTAATCTCTATGTTTATACTCTATTATTCATATCGTTTTCTTATTAGTTTCACAATTTTTGCTTGATTTTGATATGAAAGAATTGCATACCAATAGAAGTTCAAACTCAAACAAAAATATGTCTGGTGACAGCAAAATCTATGATGAAAAGGTTAGTTTTTTTGTGTAGTATTTTTTTTTTTTTTGCGGTTTCAGTCGGATCACCAATGTTGATTATCTTCATTAAATTCGGAAATCAAGTGTCGAAATATTTTTTTTTCGATAATTGAACTACGAAAATAACAGATTAATTCGATAGTAAAATTTTGAATTTTTTTCTTATTTTCGATAGTTAAAAACCGAATTTTATAGTTTATTTCGGTAGACAAGTGCCAAATATTTTCATTATTTTCGGCTCTGTAGAACTGAATGAAAAGTTTTTTTTTCCCTTTCAAATTGCATGCATGAAGAAACTGAGATTCGATCGGATATTATGATGGATTGTACTAGTCATTTTACAACTAAACACGTAACGTTTAACGTGAAATTCGTAAGTTCATAATTTTTATTAGTTAGTTAGTTTAGTTTGTTCTTACGAAAGTTGTGTAACATTATATACAGGTTTTCGACAACAAAGATGAATTGCTCACTTTAATATGTGATATTGAATGGACAAATAGCTTTGTTATTATTATAAGGACATCAGACTATGGTGGTGGTCGCAAGAGACTAAGGATTTATCTTGCTTGTGAGTGGAGTGGGAAGAATAGATCGCGTAAGAAGTTGAAAGATGGCTCGAAAGACTTGTTGAGACAAACTGGTACGAAGAAGTGCAAATGTCCATTTGATTTGAGGGCATACAAGTTGAAAACAAACGATGAATGGACATTGAATGTAGTTTGTGGACTGCATAATCATCTAGCTATAGAACATCTCGAAGGACATTCATATGCAAGGAGATTATTAGCTAATGAAAAGTCATTGTTAGTATATATGTCAAAGAGCCTAGTAAGACCAAAAGAAATACTCATTACACTCAAACAGAGGGATGCCCTTAATATGAGCACAATGAAGACAGTTTACAATGTACGACATCGATGTAGGGTTTTATAGAAAGTTGGTAGATCCCAGATGTAACAACTACTAGGTGAATTAGCGAACACAATCCCAAGGTTGCCGTACCAGTGTACTCATCCTCCGATCAGATAACACATGGCTCTCTTATGCCTCCAAATGATGTCTAAGTATGCATACATAACATTGTAGCGTGGAGCTATGGCTCATCGAGAAGCACGCATAGGGCCAAGTGGTGGATTAGGGATTTTCTACACTCTACCAAATTGTCTCAAAACTCTATCAGGGTGATATGGCTTAACTACTTCCAAACACTTTAGGCAACTATGATAAAACATAACTGGGTGACACGGATGGACATCTTTGTAACTCCAATACGGGTCCTAAATAACCTACAAACAATAACAACAATAAGATATAACAACTGTAAATATTGTACGAAACAAAGTTTCAAATTTTGAAGGACTTTTTAACTTACATTGTGTGCACCCAACCTATCAAGCTCCTCTAGAAAAGCCTACAACTGTGTCTCTTCACCAAACTCTCTCCGAGAAGTCCAATGGTAAACATATAGCATCTCTTGAGTGTAATTCATATTCAGGTGTGGAATCCACAAAAGTGCTCATAAATCAGCCCTCAAGGAGTGTCATGTAACAAACTATTTGTTTCACACCGGACCTGCTAACATATCCTAACTGTCTATATAAGTATGCCAATGCAGAAGCACCCCAAGCATATGAAGATATGATCGTTAAGTCGGACAACAAACTCAAATAAACAATGGAGACCCTAGTACCAGTCTTGTCACTGAAAAGTGTACAACCTAACAAAAATAGCAAGTACGCTCTACCTGCACATGCAATTCCTTTCATTGAATCATTGTTTAAAACATTATGAAAGTGTGCCCTCAACACTCAAGCCTCACTGAATTGCCTCTAGAACTAGACTTCTCATGTCTAACCTCTTGCTCATCAATTTCCAAGGTATTAACTACTAATACAACAACCCGTCTTTTTGACAACTTATGCACACTAATAGATTTGCCTACAATGGGAAGCCCTAGGATAGTGGTGACATCATCCAATGTGATAGTCATCTCTCCAACAATCAAATGGAATGTGTTTGTCTCCGGTTGCCATCTCTCAACAAAACTGGACACTAAAATTTTGTTGACAAAGCGGTACGTGCAACGAGCTAAGTGTGCAAGTCCTAACATCTCCACAATGTTTACAAATGTACCGTTGTTGCCTTGTTTCCACCACGACCACGAACGAATCTTAGACGAGTGATTATGACACTTCAAGGGCCCCATTTCATCAGCACCATTCCAAATAGCCGCGACAACATGACTTTTAAAACTTTTAAGGATTGATGGATCAGTTGGCATTCCCAGAAAATGGCTGAGTAAGGATATATTCATCAACAATGTCAGCATCATCACCAGTAGGGTCATCATCCATAGCAATATCGTCCATAACTGGTGCGTCATGTATAGGATCATCATCCATGGCAATGTGTGCATTATCATCATGCACTCGAGCACATCCACATCCACGTCCACATTTATGTTCAGCATTCTCTAATTCACAGAATCTTCTATTCGAAGCTATTACTGACCGACATTGACTAAGACCGGCATCCATCTGCATAAGGCTAATTATTCTCATCAACCCAATATAGCATTTATAATGAAAACACTAACAAATATACAATCAAATCGTCAAATTGAAGTCATCAACCAGTATAAAAATAACAATTACTTTGTGTTAACAATATAATTTGAAAATACCAATACTGCACAGATTTTTTTTTTCTATTGTTATGTATTAAAGTTCGAAAAAAAAAAAAAATACATAAACATACCCATAAAATAATATTGTTAGAAAAGAACCTAAGGTAAAATCAATCCTGGTGGCCTATGTGGTCTAAATATATATATATATATATATATAATAAAAGGAAGAAAAAAATCCATTCGGAACTTCAAACCCGAAATAATACACAATTTTCGGAACTAAACTATTAAAAACATGGCATCATTTCGAAACTACAAAACCGAAGAAATTCATCAACTTTGAAAACTAATAATCAAGATTTTATTTTTTTTTCGGAAGTAATTTGTCGAAATAATACAATTTATGCGAAAGTTACCTAGTGTCAAAAGCCCCAAACTGTCACTCACAAGACCAAAATCAAAGGTTTTATGCCAATGGAGTGCACATAGATCTGAAAATGATAAACACAATAACAAAATGATAAATGTAATAAGAAAATAGAAAGATTTCTTACCTTCAACACTATTTTGGAGGATTTACAATAGTCTTCAATGGAGGTCCAACAGAGGTCTTCTATGCAGGTCTTCCATGGAGGAAATTTCACTTCAAACCACAGTCTTCAAGGATGTAGGTGGGTCAATGTGGAAGTAGGGTCAATCAAAAGTGTGTGGAAAGAGGGTTAGTGGTGTGTGTACAATGATTATGAGTGGTGTAATTGTAACTTTAAGTGCATGGATTGA